CACACACACACACATATTCACACACATTCTGTAAACACCATATGTACCGAGGCTGTACCTCTCCGTCCGTACCTTCGCACCAAATCCTTGTCCATCATAAAAACCCTATTACCGTCCTATCATAAACCCAAATTACCTTTTTTTTTTTTTTTTTTTTGACAGGTGGAAACGCTTTATGCGCACCGGGTACAGGTTCTTCCCTTCCCCGGTAGTGTGAGACTCCTGATACTCACAAAAACCACCTCAGTTCTTCCATAGCATATCTACCTCACCCGGAACCATCTTCCGATATATCTTCAGGTGAGTTAGAGCTATCCTTCCTCATTTTACCTTCGCATGCTACCTGTCACCTCCCCTTTGTTGTTCAACACGCTCCTCCTTCTCCTTATGTCTCATTACCTCCACTATGTATCCATACACGATATCCCACTCCTCTTGTCCTCTACTCATGATATCTATCATATTGTTTATATTAATTGTTGTGCCTATGTTCTCAATCATTTCATTCCTCTCTCTGGACCATCTACCACATTCAAAGAGTGTATGTTTAATGTCGTCCGTTTTTCCACAGTATATGCATTTGTCATCTGCAGCTTTGCCAATTCGGAACGTGTACTCTCGAAAGGACCCATGACCACTCAGGACTTGCGTTAGGAAATACCCCGTTCTCCTATGTCCACATGATAACCATTTTTTGATATCCGGTATTATTTCCTTAGTTTTTTGACCGCCGTCCGTTAGCTCTTCCCAACGCTCCTGCCATTTCCTTATTGATATCTCCCGCTCTTCTCTTCTGATTTGTGTGGTTATTGGTTCCATCTTTTTCCTATTGTAAATATTTACCCTCTCCTCGATCATCGTCCTATATGCACTGGTAACCTTAATTAGCATTTTTCTCTGTAGGCTTCGTAGCTTTTTCCGATATTTTTTCGTCTCCATAGCTCCACACCAAATAGGGGCTCCATATAATATAATGGAGTGAAACACAGAACTCAACACGGCCCTCTTTTCGCTACTGGGTCCATTTATATTCGGCATTAACCCACACAGTGCCGAATAGGTCCTAAGCGCCTTTTCCTGCGTTCTTTCCAGGTGCAGCTTAAATGACAGTCGGTCATCAATGTAGATGCCTAGACATTTTATACCTCTTCCTGGTTGAAAGCTGTGGTCCCCGATCTTAAAACTTATACCCTCCCTACCCCGGCTGCCTCTAATGAGTACTGCCTCTGTTTTCTGGTGTGCGATGTCTAGATGGTTTTCTTCCATCCAATCTTTTATTCTCTCCAGCGCTTGATTTGCCTTATTCACCAGATCCGTTTTTTTCCCCGCTGTGACTACAAGACTCAAGTCGTCCGCGTATGCAACCGTCTTGCATCCTTCTGGTAATTCCATTTCTAAAACCGAGTCATACAATATGTTCCAAAGCCATGGTCCGAGTACCGACCCCTGCGGCACACCTTGCGTCACCGTTTGTTTGTGCCGCAAGGTGCCGTACACTATTCTATGATCACAATAGCTACGCGTAAGATTTATCAAGTATCCTGGAACCTGATTTTCTTGCAACCGCCTCAAGATTATTCCCCATCGAGCCGTATTAAAGGCGTTCCTCACATCCACACAGATTATTGCAGCCCATTTTGCGTCCCCTATGTCCAGGATATCCTCAATTGCCTCCAGTGTCGACTTTCCTTTCTGAAACCCATATTGTCTTGGAGATAGGGTGACATTTTGTTCCATTCTTGCCTTAATAATGTGTTCCAACACCTTTCCCAACCCATCCAGCAAGCAGATTGGCCTAAATTTCTTATCCTCTTCCTTCCCTTTCGGGATAAGAACTACTTTACTCTCTTTCCAGCTGTTCGGAATTTTTTGTTTACGTGTGATGTTGTTATACACCTCTAGCATCTCATCTGGTATTGTTTCTGCTGCGATCTTTATCATTTCCGCCGTTATCCGGTCCGGACCTGGAGCTTTGCCCGTTTTTAGTCTGCTTGCTGCCTGAGTCAATTCCTCCTGTGTAATTTGAACGTAGTTCCTTGTTGTCTTATGTGGTTCCAGTTTGTCGTCACACTTTGGGAACAAGCCGTCTATTATTTCCCTTTTCTCCGTTGGGCTTAACTCGTACGGCCCTGCTTGTTTGTTAAACTTTTTCATCACTATGCGATACCCGGTACCCCAGACGTCCTTATCCACTTCCTCACATACATCTTTCCAGCACTTTCCTTTTCACTGTCGGTCCTACCCAAAAACGCATCAACAACACTGCCGGGTCGCCGGGGTAATCCACGATGGAAAAACCAACAGATGTGGGTTTTTCCTATTTTAACCCTGCTCCTACGTCACCACGTCACCCCCACTCTCATCTTCCCTTTTAAAAAGTGCGGAACCACCCGAGAAGACAGACAGTCTTGACCATACACCGACCATACACCGACCTCGTTACAACACTCTCCTTACTAAAATCGCGACAACTAACACCGTTTCATCTTTCAATAAATTGTTATTTTAAGAGTCGTATTTTCGTATTCGATCCCCTCAGAACTAATAATGATTAGTAGAACTAATCGTAATTAATAATTTACGGCGGAACTTTTATCATCGTTTGGGATTGTTTAGCAGAAAATGGAAAACAATTTGAACATTTAATTAAATAAAAATAAATTTATTTCCTAAATAAGCTTGTCTTTTTTTAAATACTTTTATTTATATTTTTTTTAGACAAAAATATTAAAAAAAGCAAAAAAAAAACAAAATAGAAACATTGGCCCAAGCGCGGTTTGAACCACATTACTCCAAGATTATTTTTTCAAATTGCAAAGCGATAACCATCTCTGTTAGCTCCACCCCTTTTGCAAAAAATTAGATAGTATTATAAAAAGGAATTATTTATGCCGTATGACTTTTTTAACTTAATTATACATTTTTTTAATAAACCAGAACGAATTTAAGAAAATTTTATGTCCATTTCGACTTATTTTTTTACGATCTTTTCAAACCTGTTATTTTTATGAACGTTATTTGGTAAAAAAGTTAGCTTGCTTTTGACACATTTGTACAGGAATCCCTATGTCGCATCTTATAAATAATACAGTGTATATAACGTACATATATTACGTATATACAGTGCATTTCTTTAATGTCCCCCCCCCCTTTTATTTTTTGAACGGATCAACTTAGAAAATTGAAATTTGGGATAATGAAACTAATACATAATTACTATATTTTGGAGTAAAATTGACAGATGAAAATTTCAAGATGGCGACTGGGCGCCATCTTGGGAAATAAATTTAAATGGAAAGGGGGGTTTTGTGATACATCATTTTGAAGATCCTGACAAATACTCTACAACCCTGGAATATAAAGTCAATATCTGCACCCATTTCAAAATGGCGGAACATTTAATAATTACCTGAATGCAAACAAAATAATATCAATTTTTCTAGAAATATTTGTTTTTCTATGGCAAATAGCAATCTAAACAAACCGATAAGGTTTGACAGGCTAGTTTTGGTTAAAAAAATTCCAAAAAATGTAAGTACGACAACGAACATTAATTGTTTAGTCAAAATATGCTCATTTAGTTTTTGGTTTTCCTAGTGTTCAAAATATTCTTTTTAGTTTTCGATTTTCCTAGTGTTCAAAGTATTTTCATTTAGTTTTCGGTTGTTTAGTTCTCATTGCAGTTAGGTAGCACGTGAACTAACTGTAAAATGGCCAATTCTCGTCCATTATAAGATGGAGCACCACCACATTAATCCAGAAAAGTAATGAACTATTTGGATGCTACTTTCCCTGGTCGTTGGATTGGTCGTCGAGGTCCTACGGAATGGCCAGCCTGATGCTCGCCAGATTTGACACTTTTAGACTTTTTTTTATGGGGCTATTTGAAGCAAAATGTGTACGAAACTAAACCTGCTTTAATATTGGATATACGAGAAATAATTACAGATATTTGTAAAAATATCGACGTTACTATGTTCGAAAATGTTCGATTAGGCTGTTCTTACATCAAGAAGTTCAAGCTAACCATTTGAGCTTTTTTTGAACTGAACTCAGCTTATTTCCTCAAATTATGACGTTAAACGTCGATATGTTCAGGTAATTAATAAATGTTCGGCCATTTTGAAATGGGTGCAGATATTGACTTTATATTCCAGGGTTGTAGAGTATTTGTCAGGAGCTTCAAAATGATGTATCATAAGACCCCCCTTTCCATTTAAATTTATTTCTCAAGATGGCGCCCAGTCGCCATCTTGAAATTTTCATCTGTCAATTTTACTCCAAAATATAGTAATTATGCATTAGTTTCATTATCTAAAATTTCAATTTTCTAAGTTGATCCGTTCAAAAAATAAAAGGGGGGCACGGACCGTATTTTTTGACCGAAGCAAGCAGTTAGTTATAAAGTCAAGATAATTTTAGGAAAGTTTAAAAAAAAATGTCGTAGTACTTTCCGAGAAAATGCCGAAAACCCAAAAAATCCCAAAATCGAATGTCTCCTAGGCCCGGTTGCTCGTACGCGGATCAAATTCGGGATCAACAAATCTCGGATCAAAGTTAGTACGGGATTAACTGTTTACTCGGGTTGCACAAAACTTTTTTGATCTCGGATCAACTATTCCCGGTTTGATCCCGAACTGAAATGACAGAAGTGACAGAAGTGACATTTCTAGACAACTAAATTTAAAACTTAACTTAATAAAGTCATTTAAAAAGAAGAAATCGGTTTCATAACCTCAAATAAAACGATTTTATTTGTTAAAACTTTTTTCTTGCCGGTTCGACAAGTGAAAGAGTGTGGTTGTGCTCAAATTTGTTCTGCGGAAAATCAAAAATTGGTGAATATACTAATACTAATTGTACTATAATCCCTATTTCCCAACATATCATAAATCTCATAACATTCATAATTTGATCTAAGAATTTTCCTTTTCTTATTTTTTGTTTGTTTTCTCGTTTAAAAAAAGAGAAAGAACAAGTAAATTTGAAAACATTTAACCATGTCTGTGGACTCGGGAGGGGAGGACCCTCCGGAAACCAGTTTAACAATAGGTATATGGATGTCAACAAATGAAAAAATACCGATAGATGTACAAAAAAATAACAATACGTTAAAAATAAGTAATTTAACTATAAATAGTCTGTTTTATAAATCTAATTCGTTGGGACCATTTGTGGTCATAGTCGAAAGCATAGATAAAAACCACTTTATTGGAAGATTTAATCATCTTAAAATAGCTAAGGAAATATTTGATTTAAAACTCAATAACATTCTGGAGGTTAAGGAGAAAGGGAAGAGGAAATAAGGTGTTCATTTTAATTCAGCCCAAACTGCTAACGATTTTGTTAAAAATAATAATTTAAATCAACAGGAATATATGGTATATATCCCCAGAAACAATGTATCTTGCAAAGGCATAGCATTCGATGTTAATCCTGCTTATTCAGATGAACAATTACTAAAAATGTCCAATAGTCCGTTTGAGATTTTAGAAGTTAAAAGGTTCAACAAAAAAATATACAAAGATGATGGTACGGTAGAATATAATCCATCGGGAGTTGTACTATACACTTTTGATGGGATAATTCTGCCTAGGAATATTAATTTATGTTACTTTAGTATACCAATTATCCCTTATGTATCACGAGTAACGCAATGTTACAATTACCTTACTTTTGGTCATACAAAAAAACAATGTAAAAGCAAAAATAAATGCACTAACTGCGGTAAACAACATGAGGAAGAAAATTTTCAATGTATAAAATCATGCATGTACTGCAAATCCCCTAATCATAATCCCATTGATTGAAGAAAGTTAGTATAAATATTTGGTTTTAACTAATATTGCTCATTGCAAAGTTTGATTTTGTATCATACTTGCATTTTTCGAACGTGATTGTTGTGCTTTTGCTTTTTGTATTTTTATTGTATTTCAATAATTATTTAGGCTGTTTATAGTAAGTAATTTTTTGTTTTATTATACTTTTTATTTATATTTGTATATATTTTATTTTGTAGTACCATGGATTCTTGTTGGTCAAAAGATATTTCCCAATTTCAGAAGTTCTCTTTTGAAATTGCAGAAACATTTTTCAAAAGTAAAGGGTGGACACAGAGTGACATTAGTCGTGGTTATAAATTTTTTGCAGGAGGGTACGTAATATATCATTATAGTTTTTGCTTTTACTAACAAACTTATTACAGTTTTGTCCACGATGTGTTGTTCGATAAGCTGGGATCAACGCTTAAAGCGAAATGTTATAGAAGTAAAAAAAAATGAAAAACCTCATTCTATTTATTTGACTTTTGTTGCATCTTTGGAAGCAATAAGTGAAGCACATTGTACTTGTGAAGCAGGGTAAGATTTAATTGTTAATATTATATTTCCGAAATTTATATTTCATGGTTCTATATTTTTAGTAATTCCGAATCTTGCAATCATGTTGTTGCCCTGGCATATTACATGCAACATTTAATCATAATGGGATTACATGTTATTCCTGAGGACGAATCCCCAACATCTTTACCGATGGTGTGGAACAAGCCGAGGGGGAAAAAATTACTGCACAGCAATTAAGTGATAGCATATTTTTTAATCCCTTAAAAACTGTTCGATCCAAGGACCCGGTGAAGCCAAAAATAAAAAATCCCTTTGTGGATGAACAATTAACTAAACTGGATGGTGGAAGGCTCCTAAATATTAAAGCTGCATTAGCAAATGTTCAAAAGAACATTTCTTTCGTAGGCACTCTGTCGATGGAAAATGATACTAGGACCATTTTGCTGGGAGATGGTACGTAAAAGATTATTTTTTTTTAATTATATTTTAAATATATTTTTTATTTATAGATGTACGTGTTCCTATGGGCTCTGCACTTGGCCATCAAGCTCGTGCCCATGCAGACCAAGTTACCATTCATTTGCCTGAACTGGATGAAGTACCAATTGATTTGCCTGTAGAGAACAAAGATATGGTGGACATATTAATAGGTATGCCACCAGTTCACAACCGTTCTCTACAGGAACTATCTTTTGCCGAAGCGGCTGATATCGAGAAGCAGACGAGACAACAGAGCCAATTGGATTTATGGTGGGAGTTGAGGAAATTCCGATTTACGGCATCCAAATTTGGATACGTATGCAAACGTAGATTATTTAATGAGGAATTCATTAAACAGTTTACTTCCAGAGGAGAATCTCTTTCCCACGTTGCGGCCATCACGCATGGACGGAAGTACGAAGTGGTTGCCGCCGAATATTTTGTAAGTCAAAATTTAAATTTAAAATTTTTTAAATGTGGGCTCATCATCCATCCATATGCACTTCATTTGGGAGCTAGCCCAGATGGGATTATTTTCGACAGTAAGATCGATAGCTATGGTCTATTAGAGATTAAGTGTCCTTACAGCGGCAAGGCTAACAATTTATGTGAATACTTAAATTTAAAAACATTTTGCTTAAAAAAAGATGAAAATAATGTCCTCTGTTAAAAAAAACCACGAGTATTATTACCAGGTGCAGGGACAGATGTTGGTGTCTGGATTAAAATGGACCGATTTTATAGTATATATACATAAAACCGAAGAAGTTGTTCATGAACGTATTCATTTTGACTTGGAATTTTGTGAAAAAATGTATGTAATGTATGTAATGTATGTAATGTATGTAATGTATGTAATGTATGTAATGTATGTAATGTATGTAATGTATGTAATGTATGTAATGTATGTAATGTATGTAATGTATGTAATGTATGTAATGTATGTAATGTATGTAATGTATGTAATGTATGTAATGTATGTAATGTATGTAATGTATGTAATGTATGTAATGTATGTAATGTATGTAATGTATGTAATGTATGTAATGTATGTAATGTATGTAATGTATGTAATGTATGTAATGTATGTAATGTATGTAATGTATGTAATGTATGTAATGTATGTAATGTATGTAATGTATGTAATGTATGTAATGTATGTAATGTATGTAATGTATGTAATGTATGTAATGTATGTAATGTATGTAATGTATGTAATGTATGTAATGTATGTAATGTATGTAATGTATGTAATGTATGTAATGTATGTAATGTATGTAATGTATGTAATGTATGTAATGTATGTAATGTATGTAATGTATGTAATGTATGTAATGTATGTAATGTATGTAATGTATGTAATGTATGTAATGTATGTAATGTATGTAATGTATGTAATGTATGTAATGTATGTAATGTATGTAATGTATGTAATGTATGTAATGTATGTAATGTATGTAATGTATGTAATGTATGTAATGTATGTAATGTATGTAATGTATGTAATGTATGTAATGTATGTAATGTATGTAATGTATGTAATGTATGTAATGTATGTAATGTATGTAATGTATGTAATGTATGTAATGTATGTAATGTATGTAATGTATGTAATGTATGTAATGTATGTAATGTATGTAATGTATGTAATGTATGTAATGTATGTAATGTATGTAATGTATGTAATGTATGTAATGTATGTAATGTATGTAATGTATGTAATGTATGTAATGTATGTAATGTATGTAATGTATGTAATGTATGTAATGTATGTAATGTATGTAATGTATGTAATGTATGTAATGTATGTAATGTATGTAATGTATGTAATGTATGTAATGTATGTAATGTATGTAATGTATGTAATGTATGTAATGTATGTAATGTATGTAATGTATGTAATGTATGTAATGTATGTAATGTATGTAATGTATGTAATGTATGTAATGTATGTAATGTATGTAATGTATGTAATGTATGTAATGTATGTAATGTATGTAATGTATGTAATGTATGTAATGTATGTAATGTATGTAATGTATGTAAAGAATTTTTTGCTGATTTCTCAATAACCACATGAGAAAAAGATAAAAAAAGGTATGTTTCAGATTACATTTTTCACGGGCTTTTCAATGACCCTACACACGACATACCTTTGCATTTGAAAAAATAGAGTTGGGTAGGGTTGCAACTAAGGGGTTGAAGAAAAAAAAAATCATTTTATTGGCAATAAATCCGTCCAATATAAAATCAATTCACGTGTTTTAGCATTTTTTGTTTAAATTACTGGTTCAACAGATAATAATTTTATTCCGGACTTTTGCCCAACCCTGTATAATAAACTGCTTAAGTACAATCAAGCTCCCATTAATATTTATTCGTTACTTACAGATCCAGGCTCCAAATCAGTGGACCTTTTAATCAAATACCTTAAACAAAATGGTTTAACGCTTTAAATAGAAATTTAGACGCCTTGTAGAAATTTGATATGCATGGCTTAGCTAATAATAAATAATGATTGTAGAACGGTAGAGAAATATATTGTCACGAGTTGTTAAGAATTTGGGGCGACTTGCCCTCTTATCGTGTTGTTCAACTCGTGTTTCGCCGATTCCTTTATCGGCGGAACCTCTTTGCTACGGGGCGTAGCGGTAAAGTCTTGGCTTTCTCTCTACTCTGAAAATGGGGGTTCTACTAGGGGCTCAGAGAATGATACTCAGAGAGATAATAACGAACAAGTATATTGCTTAAACCTAGTTACACAAGGGTGAGGTACTTATACCTCACCAAGCGATAACAAATAGCCCTACAAACTACCCTACCTCATCTAGAAGGTCTAGCAGACTTCGGGGCACGTCACGAGGGCCGGCTAGATCTCTTTACTCTTTCGAGCACTTATAACACCGTTACACTTTAACTCGGTGGAACTATAACACACGCTCGGAATAACTTATACAATTCGATTTGGCCCGCAAGAGATCACGCGTACCGTCCCTTATCGTACGGGATAAGGAATCTCCCCGGGCGCGAGGCGGTTAGGCTTTTTATGCCAACCAATCTCCCCCGTTTGTCCACCGTTCTCACGGTGGTCCGATCGACGGTGTTGAAAATACCTTTCAACATGTTCTCATTTATTTAAATTTCAAATTTAGCGGGTAAAATGTTGTATCCGGGAAGCGGAAGCGTGTGCGAAAAAGGAAGTAATGTTTTACAAGATGGCGACGAGACGGTAGGCACGCAAAAAGCTCTCCGTGAATTTAATGTGAATATTAACGTAATATGAAGAGTATTATACGAAGAATATAGAAAAAGTTGTAAGAATAAAGCCCTGCGACCGGTGTTAATGAATGTGTATAATTTCATGGTGAATCTCTCTCTGTTTTATGGGGTAACAATCAACAGCCATACAGTCCACTAACAGTGTTACCAACATAAAAATGGTCCTTCGAGCCGGATCTGCGGGGCTGTTCGTCGCAAGAAATAAGTAAAGGAAAGTGCTACGGTGATATCTCTCGTGAAGAAATAAGGGGAAGTAAAATTTGTGAATAGTGGTTCTCATAAGACTTATGCGCTCTCTCTCTCTAGTGCCGTTCTCTCTCTCTCTAGTGCCGTTCTCGCTCTCTCTAGTGCCGTTCTCGCTCTCCAGTTTCGTTTCGCGTGGTTCCGCCAGTTCCGTGCGAAGCTGCGTTCGTTGTTCCGTGTTCGTGACTTGACTGTTAGTCGTTCTCAAAACTCTTGAAAACTCTCGCTCTCGCTCTCTCTAGTATCGTTCCGTGCGGTTCCGCCAGTTCCGTGCGAAGCTGCGTTTCGTTGTTCCGTGTTCGTGACTTGACTGTTAGTCGTTCTCAAAACTCTTGAAACTCTCGCTCTCGCTCTCTCTAGTACCGTTCCGTGCGGTTCCGCCAGTTCCGTGCGAAGTTAGGTTGTCGTTGTCGTTTGTCGAAAAATAAAAACACGACCGAAACGACCATTTTGACCTTTTTAAAAAACACTAGCCGCATTTTGTTTATATAGCAATTGAATAAAGAAAATAAAACGATAAAAGGGAAAATGGATGAATATAAAGTGAGCCGGAGATCCGCTAAAGCCCAGATTACAAGAATAAGCAATTGGGTTGAGCAAAATCAACAGACCGAAAAGGACGTGTTTAAGTTTCAAGCTCGTTTGCAATCTCTGGAGGACAACTTTGGCAAATATATGGAAAATCATGAAAAAATACTAACCGCCGAAGAGGTTGAAAACGCAAACTACGTGGATGATGAAAATGTTGAAGCAGTCGAAACGAGATATTTTGATGCCAAGGCACTCATATTGTCAATTGTAAGTAAGATGCGCTCCGTTCAAGACAACAACTCTACTCACGAGCGGGAAAGCAGTGAAGCCTCGACGTCTGCGGCTGCAGCCACTGCTGCAAGTTTTCTTCAGTCTCCGGAATTCCAGCACTCTCCGAATATAAAGTTACCGGACATACGTATACCGGTTTTTAATGGCGATATCCAGGAATGGGATTCCTTTTTTGATTTGTTTAGTTCACTTATTGTAGATAATAGTAGATTAAGGTCAGATGTTGAAAAATTTTGCTATTTGAAAACACTACTCAGCGGAGAAGCGCTTAAATTAGTAAGTTCTTTAAAAGTAACAAATGATAATTTTGCAACCGCTATTGAGCTCCTCAAGACTCGCTACGGTAAAAGATCGTTATTAGTAAATAATGTATTTAGTGTTTTGTTGAATATACCTAATATTACAAAATGGGATAATAGGCGGCTGAGGCAGTTTGTGGCGGATTGCAAACAGAACTATGAATCGCTTAAGAATTTAAACTACGATGATCAATCTCTCTTTGAAACGCTGTTAGTTTATATGCTCGAACAAAAAATTGATTTTAACTCTCGTAAGTCATTTGAAGAAACTTTGGAGTCGGACAGATTGCCGAAAGTGAAAGATTTTTTATTGTTTTTAGAAAGGCGTTGTGATGTATCCGATAAGTTGTCGGACTTGGATACGAGTCATAATAAGAAATATTTTAAAGAAACTCCAAAAGTGGCCTTGCATGCACGGGTTACTTCAAACACTTCATCGCGTACAGTTCAAATATGTTCCTATTGTAAAGATAGTCATAAGATTTACACTTGTTCACAGTTTAATGCGCTCTCTCCATCTGACCGATACAGATTTGTAAAGAGTAACAAACTATGTTTTAATTGTTTAGGTAATCAGCATTCGGTTGAAAATTGTTCTTCTACGGTAACTTGTTCATGTGGACGGAGACATCATAGACTGCTGCATAATAGCAACTACTCTCCAACCAGTTCGCGGGGACGGGGGGGAGAGAATTCAACTGCGGTAAGCTCTTCACGCCTGCACCAAAATACAAGTCAAGTCAGTCAAGGTAATGATAGGGTAGTACAAAATACTTCAGTAAGTAACGTAGATAGCGTTTTAAATCCCAACTCAGGTACTTTCGGTTCTGGGCAATACAGTTATAATCCCTCAAATCCATCTGTTAGTTGTCATTCCCACTCAGGTCAACCTTCTCACATTCTCTTGGCTACGGCGAAGGTCTTGATAAAGTCAGCCTTTGGAGTATCTCGAGTGGCCCGGGTCTTATTAGATAACGGGAGCCAAAACTCATTTATTACTAATTCTCTTTGTCAAATGTTGGGTCTTCGACCTCGAGCTCAAACATTACATATCTCAGGTATTTTTGGAAATTCTCACCTTTCCAATGAAGTGGTGGACGTTCAAATTTCTTCCCTTTCTGTAGCAGAACAGAGTTTCTCTTTGTCTTGTGCTGTTGTCGGCAAAATCACAACTAGGCTCCCTCAAATCCCAATAGATACTCATGCACTCAATATCCCTGGCGAGATTTGGAGTTGTTTGGCGGACCCCGAATTTGGAAGGCCAGCAGACATTGACCTTCTCATTGGAGCAGACTTATACTACGCTCTTCTAACTAAAGAACCTGTGGTGGTTTTGGGTAGGAATCTTCCAACTCTAGTGAGTACTCGACTGGGTTGGATTGTGGCCGGTTCGGTTCCCGATCAGGCGTTCACTGATCTTAACTCTAGATACTGTCACTCGATGCATGTAGCTTGTTCCTTTGAAACTTCGGAGGAACACTCTTTGAATAGTCTTCTGTCAAGGTTTTTCGAAAATGAACAGGTTCCCTTCCTCTCTGGGGAACAATCTCTTAACTCTGATGAGCAACTGGCGGAAGAAATGTTTAGTTCAACTACTAAGATACTTGAAAATGGCAGGTACCAAGTAGATATCCCTTTCAAATCTCCGAAGGAGTATCTTCGCAAATAGAACTTCGCAGGTCCAAAGTCTAACTGAGGGTTGCAGGTGAAGATATATTAGTTCGAGTCTTAATCCCGCGGACTTACTCAGTCGGGGCAGATTGGATAAAGAAACTCATAGGTTCTGGTTCTCTGGTCCAGATTTTTTACTGGACCCTGATTTGTCTTTTGACAGTTTACCCCCGTTCGTCCCAGTCACTGATCCCCCAGAACAAAGAAAACAGGTATTGGTCTGCATAAATGATTCGGAGGATGACTGGATTTCAATTTTCGCTAGGTTCTCTTCAATGTCCAAACTCCAACGCACAATCGCTTACGTGTTGAGAATTGTTTTCAACTTGAGGAGTGGGGATCAAAAATTGACTGGTCCGTTGGTCGCCGATGAGCTGACTCGCGCTCTAGACTTCGTTGTTAAACAGTTGCAGGCTCATTATTTTTCAAGGGAGCTCACGGAATTGACTCGGTCACAATCTGTTTCACATAAACAACTCAGAGGTTTGAGGCCTTTTATCGACTCTCAGGGGTTTATCCGGGTCGGCGGACGACTAACTCATGCTACAGTATCTTTTGATCAAAAGCATCCCCTTTTGTTGCCCTCCAAGGATCATACTGTAAAGCTCATGCTTACTCAACATCACATATTGTTGGGTCATGCGGGACCACAAAATGTTCTTTATAACTTTCGGCTTCGTTTTTGGCCATTGAATGCACTAAGAGATATAAAGCGTATAATTCGAAACTGCTCTATATGTTTCCGTTTTAATGCGAGAGTAGCGCAACAAATTATGGCGGATCTTCCTAGGGATAGAATTCAGGTGGCCCGACCCTTTCAGAAGGTTGGAGTCGATTATGGCGGGCCTTTTCTGCTCAAGGCATCTGTTCTTCGTAAAGCTTCCTCTATTAAATGCTACGTTTGCCTCTTTGTATGTATGGTAACGAAGGCGGTACACCTTGAGCTTGTTTCAAGTCTCACATCGGAGAGTTTTCTCATGACATTTAAAAGATTTATAGCACGCCGCGGTAATCCCTCGGTTGTGTACAGTGACAATGGTACTAATTTTCAGGGTGCCCGAAACAAGTTACTGAGCTCTACCAGTTTTTCAGTTCTCCGTCGTTTGAATTAATAAAAGATTATCTTGCTCAGAGCGAGATTACATGGAAATTCATCCCTGCCAGATCTCCGCATTGGGGAGGCCTTTGGGAGAGCTCTATTAAAAATGTCAAATACCATTTACTACGTATTATCGGAAATTCGTGTCTTACTTTCGAACAATTTGATACAGTACTGGCTCAGATAGAGGCCATACTGAATTCAAGACCTCTTCTCCCACTTTCGGAGGATCCCTCTGACCTTCAGGCTCTAACTCCCGGGCATTTTCTTATAGGCTCTAGTTTAACTGCATATCCGGAGAAAGATGTTACCGGCGTTTCAGAAAATCGCCTTGATATGTACCGTAAATGTTCCCAACTTCAGCAGAGTTTCTGGAAAAGATGGCAGGTAGATTATCTGAATTTGCTCCAGAATCGACCCAAATGGTTGACACCTACAAAGAACTTGGAGGTGGGAAATCTAGTTCTCATAAGAGGTGAAAATTGCCCACCCTTAAAGTGGCCTCTGGCCAGGGTGATAGAAACAATTAAAGGTGCAGACGGGAGAGTAAGACTTGTCAGGGTGAAATCTCAATTGGGAATTTATATGAGACCCATTTCTAAAGTTTGCTTATTACCTTGTAGTGATACCTTGTAGTATTACTATTCGTAGCGATAATAATTTTTTATAAATTTTCTCTTTTCGTTTAATTGCATTGTTTGTTACTTTACAGTTTTCAATTTTTTGTGAGTCGGGGAGTATGTTGAAAATACCTTTCAACATGTTCTCATTTATTTAAATTTCAAATTTAGCGGGTAAAATGTTGTATCCGGGAAGCGGAAGCGTGTGCGAAAAAGGAAGTAATGTTTTACAAGATGGCGACGAGACGGTAGGCACGCAAAAAGCTCTCCGTGAATTTAATGTGAATATTAACGTAATATGAAGAGTATTGTACGAAGAATATAGAAAAAGTTGTAAGAATAAAGCCCTGCGACCGGTGTTAATGAATGTGTATAATTTCATGGTGAATCTCTCTCTGTTTTATGGGGTAACAATCAACAGCCATACAGTCCACTAACAGTGTTACCAACAGACGGTGGAGTTTGGTTGCATCCTGTTTTACATGATTCCTCGAAATATTTCACCTATCGTTGCACTATTTGCAACGATTCTCACAGGTTCAATACTCGAGTGTCCTAACCGTCTCACGACCCATTTGCGTTCGTGACAATATTTCTTCATATGAACTATTAAAGTTGACCTTTTCTTTCTAGAAAAAAAATCCTTCAATTCATCCTACTTTTCTGGTGTAATACTATGTGTAATGTCCTGGACACACCACAGGGCGAGAAGAGTCTTTATTTAACCTTTGTAATTACCTATTCCTACCCTTGAAGGGCATGAAGCAGGTCTTTAGACGTACCTCACGGTATACTCTTCAAGCAACCAGTAATAACAAAACACAGAACCTGGCTGTATGTCATTAGACAGGAGGCCAAAGGAGAAGAAGAAGAAAGAAGAAGAAGACAGATAATTTAGTATTTTGTTGTTTAAATTCGTTAATTATCTCATAGAAGGTTATTGGAGTGTCAAGTGGTTAAAACGCACGTGGCGTATCTTAAACCCCTTTGGTGAAGAATAAGACATAGTAAATATAATAGAGTGTACCTTTATCGCAGTGAGTACAAACAAATTTACAAGCATACGTAGTATTGCCCTGCTTTTGTTTACCTCTTGTTTCTAACCCAATCACCTTATAACCTACAAACTAAAAACTTCTCGCATATCGTAAACTGTCATGGCCAGCGACTCCGGGGGTCCGTCTGGACCCCTAGGAAGACCCCCTGATATACCAAAAAGGTACAAATACTTAGACACAGGTCCATACCTAGTAATCGTAGAAGGAACAGATAAGAATAACATTGGAGCTTTCCACCCCATTGCGGTTGGAAGAACACTCCGTATTAAGGGAATTCAAGGCATCAAGGCCGTTTCTAGAAAAGGTTCAAACAGAATAAGTATAGAGTTCATAACCTCCAAATATTCCAACGAATTTCTGGACAACGATAAACTCAAAGAAGAAAGCAAATGGGAAAGCTACATACCAGCATCGCTAGTCACCTCAAGAAGAATAATTAGAGGTATAGACCTGAGCACTAGCATGGAAGAAATCAAAAACTTCGGAAAAGCTTCTACCAAAATTCTAGACGCAAGGAGACTGAATCGCAGGATCGCCAATCAACAAACCGTAGAATATGTACCAAGTGAAACTGAACTGATCACATTTGAAGGCAAAAATATACCGAATACAGTAAGTATCAATTATTACGAATCCAGGGTTAAGGTATATGTAGGACCCGTACTACAATGCTTTAACTGCCTCAGATACGGTCATTCTAGCAAACAATGCAGAAGCCACATCAGATGCAGCAGGTGCGGAGAAGAACATGAGGCGACCAATTGCCAAAAAGACATAAAATGCATATTTTGCAAGCTAGAACATCTAGCTACTGATAGGAAACAGTGCGCTGAATTCGAAAGGCAAAAACAAATCAAGGAAATCATGTGCTACGAAAACCTGTCTTATTACGAAGCTTCCAAAAGGGTACCAAGACCTGGCAATCAACGAACAAACTATACCATTACAAGAGCAGAGGAATTCCCAGAATTAGGAACAACAAAAAAAAAATGCCACAATCGACCAAAAACAACTTCATCACAGTAAACGAAAGAAGACAGAATACAGGGACCAGAAAGAGACAGGCATCCTCACCACCGATATTAAACTACAACAAGGAAGCACATATAGAATGTCTGTTTCCACCACCATGCAGAACCTCCACTACACCAATTCTAAACACAAACGCGTATCAAAGAAACCTAAGTAATGAGAAGGATACAACCGAAGCTATACAGATCACGACATTTTTAAAAAAAAATCTAAGACATACAACGCTCACCACAGAACAAATAGACAAAGTAATTGATGAAACACAAAGCATAGAATTCGAAAAGATCGACGACAAAACAAATGAAAACATGGCTACGAGCCCCATCCCATCGGAGGATTGGTCCACATTCTGATTCACAATGACTAATTATCAAATTAATCACAAACTTAACATCATTCAATGGAATCTTCACAGTCTACTGGATAAGATAGATGAATTAAAAATGCTAATTCACAATGAAAGAGCCGATATCATTCTACTAAACGAAACCCTACTTACACAATCAAAAGGGGTCAGAATCCCAAACCACAACATTATTAGAGAAGATCGACAAGATGGATGGGGGGGAGTAGCCATCCTTATAAATAGCGAATTAAAATACTCAAATATGTCAATCAGAACACAACTTCCAGAGAGAGTACAAATCATAGGCATTAAAGTGAGGAATCTCATCATTGGAACATTCTACTGCCCCCCAGATGTCTACTTATCGCAACTAGAATTCACAGATATATTTCAGGAACTAAACAGCCCATTTATATTAATAGGAGACCTAAACGCGCAACACACAGCATGGGGATCGGGAATAACAAACAGTAAGGGAAATAACCTGCACAAAGCCATAAAACAGTGTGGACTTGTGTTCCTGAATGACGGGAACAGAACTAGAATAACACCACCACACCAAAACAAAAGCTGCCCTGACATTGCCATCTGCACACCAAACTTAGCTACAAAAAGTACATGGAAAACCATAGAACACACAGCGGTGAGCGATCACGTACCTACCCAGGTGGTATTAGATCAAGGAATTGCGCCATATTTCCAGGAGAGAAATACTTCATCAATTTTGATGAGAAGAAGACGTACACCCAGTATGAGGAAATCCTGAATGAAATAAATAAAGCCGCAAAGGCAGGAATCCCGGAAATACACATGAAGAAGAAGAATAAAAAACGGATGGTGAAACCGATTTGGTGGGATGAGGCCTGCCAAAAAACTAATGAAGACAGAAGCAAATCACTAAGAAAATCACCAACCCAACGAAGAAAACCTACTAGAATACAAAAGAAAAGCAGCAGCAGCCAGAAGAACACTCAAAGAAAAAAAGAAAAACAGTTTCGTCAAATTCACGGAATCTCTGAACAGGGAAACGTCCATAAAGTTCATCTGGAATGTGGTAAGAAGTTTTAGTAACACGAAAACCCATAACAACGTAATGGACACTGATAACGACAATTGGATGGGAGAAATTCTAGATAGATTGGCTCCTCCGTTCATCCCAAATGAAAACAGGATAACTTACCAAAATCAAAACTACTCCGAAAGTTTCAACCTTAACGAACTCGAATTAGCTATGAAGCATTAAGCCCTCTACTATTCAACCTTTACACCTCTAAGATGCATCAAAAGGCGGAGGACGGGGTCCAAATCATACAGTTCGCAGATGACACCTTAAATAACTTACAGGAATGGCTAGACGAGCATGGCCTCGAAATATCAGTAAATAAATCTAAAGCCATGATCATTAGTAGAGGCAAAAGCAGAAATCCAATACCCAGGCTGGAAATGAGGAATCAACATATCGAGTGGCACGATGAAATCAAATATCTAGGAATAACATTCAATCACACAATGGGATGGAACACTCACATTAATAATATTTACAACAAAGGAGCTAAAGGTATCAACATCATGAGAGCATTATGTAGAGTATGGTGGGGAGCGGACCCCAGAACATTATTAAACATCTACAAAGGAGTAATAAGATCTCACCTAGATTTCGGTACCAATATAATCTTCAACACATCTAAAGCCAACTGGAACAGATTAAACAAGCTACAATATGAAGCGCTACGGATCGTCACTGGGTGTTTGAGATCCACACCGATAAATGCATTATTGGGCGAGACCGGTGAAATGACATTGGAAATGAGGAGATCTTGGCTTTGCACCAAACAATGCTTGAAATGGTTGACATCGACAGAATGCTCCGTGGGCAGGGCTCTATTCAACATGTACCAACTATACAATGAAGAAACAAGATACTGGCGCAATAAAGCTGCACCTATGCTAATGGAAGGACTAGACTATGCATTGCAATATGATGAAATCATGTTCAAATCAAGCATCCCACCGTGCTACCAAATCAAGTATAAATACCAAATAGAAGGAATCAGATGGGAAGATAGCAAAATAGACAGAAAATCAATTAACTGCCAAAAACAGCTGGAAGAAATTATTGGAACAAGGTACCCCAACCACAGCGTAATATATACTGATGGGTCACTGGACCCTAATACGGGACAATGTGGATTCGGATTGTTCAGTCCCACTTTTAAACTCACTGGGGGGGAAAAGAATCCAGGACAACACCTCTATATGTACAACGGAAATAATGGCAATACGGGAAGCAATACGACTGGGATTAGAAAAAAAGAGTCAAAACATCCTGATTATCTCAGACTCAAAAAGCGCCATTGAGAGAATAGCTAGATCGGACATCTCCCCAAGAAGCGACCTCACCACACTAAACACCAGGCAGCTAATAAAGAATGCAGAACAACTAGGAATCAAAATGAACCTCTTATGGGTTCCCAGCCACTGTGGTATCAAAGGGAACGAGAAAGCCGACAAAGTAGCTGGAAACGCGAGAACTAACACAGGACAGATTAGGAACAAGCTTCATTACACAGAGATATCCAATCTAGCTAAACACAGGATATGGGAGCATTGGAAAACAGTATATCAAAGAATAGGACAACAAAAGGGAACACTATACACAAAAATGAATAATGAACCACCTAAAATTCCTTGGTACAGAGGAGTTAAATATAAAACTAGACGACACATCACGATGCTATGTAGAATGCGCACCAATCATTGTATAACTCCCCAACACCTACATAAAATAGGCATTTAAAAATGATCCTTATTGCGAGTGTGGCGAATTTGGGGATCTGATTCATATTATCTTCGGCTGCAGACTATCTCAATCCTGTCACAAAATATATAGGACCATAGCAGAAATGCAAAAAGGCCCTGTACACATTAACACCCTGTTGCTCAGCCCGTTATCAAAAGAAACTCAAAAACTGGTACAATTGCTTGTAGTGCATGACTATAGAATTTAATGCTTATTGCTTGCAAGCTTATAGAAAATAAGATACATTAATCTAGAACAGCTTATAGATATAGAGACAGTAACACCACAGGCTAATTAACTAACCAAACAATTTGATAATTACAGATAACAACCCACCATCCTATCTACCTGGCGTTACAATGTAGACAATGCGTGACAATGTTTCGTACACGCCGCGAAACGAGAAGAGTCTTTACCCAATAAAAGTTCCCATCCTATTTCCAAAGGGCATGGGCATAGCCCAGACGCACTGCAAGGTGCACTCTTTGGACTTTTGCCAAAAGTGTAAGAAATATGCTGGCCGGATGAGACACAACGCAAGAGGCCATGTAACAGAGAAGAAGAAATTCGTTAATTCATTACCAGATGACTTTCCTACGGTCCTATATCTAGATAAATACCTTCCTAATTATCACATATTTTCCCTCCTGCTTAGATATAAACATATTATTGAGGATAAGGCCTATTAAAGGCCTAATTGCTATTAAAAAAAACAATTATTATCAAGTACAATTTAATTTTAATTTTTTATTTTTTAGTTTTATTTAAAAGGATCGCGGCGAGGGCGAAGAATACGACGTCTCACTCGATGTGTGCAGGCTCTTCGAGGTCGCTCAAAGACGATAAATTTGATAAATCGGACATGTTCTAAAATAATTTCGTGTGTAATTAATTATTTTACATATAAAATAAATATAATTTACTTACGTTTACTAGAAACCTTTTCTTTAATCTTCAAATTGGATAATAATAACCGGAATTCGTTTAATTTAACCTCAAAAGCACCAACAAATTTAAGTCAAAATCACGAAAATAAACGCTGTCAACGCTGGTTCGCTAGCTTAATCCCACCTTGGTCACGGATTAATTGATCTCGAGTTGATCCTGCGATTTTTGTTTCGAGCAACGCAAAATGTGATTTGATCCAGGTTTAAGCCCGGATCAACGAAGTCGGATTAAATACCGAATTTTTGACGTTTGAGAAACACTTGATACGGCGGCCATATTTGATCCCAGATCAAACTCGGCTTAATTTTATTTTTGTCGTTTTATTCTCTATAGTACGTAATTAAATACCATTGAATAGTAAAAAAGCTTTATTGATTAACAGATCACTGTACATTACATTTTCTACGACCTTACGCCAATTTTATTATTATAGTATTCCGATAATAAAACAACTGTAGAAAAACAACTCAGTCGCCGGTACACAAATATCTGAAACAAAGCAACAATAAACATACATATACATTTTTTATCGCACAATAATCTACGATTCTTAAGCTATCATTTCTCGATAGTTCACGATGATCCTTCATCTCTTCTTTCATCCGAAATCATTCCTTGATGAAACCTTGACGAAAACTCCAACAATGACGATGATCTGAAAGAACATGCCACAAAATCTTGCGTCACGCTCTGAAAAAACGGCAGGAAATTTATGGGACATATTTAGAAATGTAGCTCAAGAATCCTAGGATTATTGTGCGATAATTTTTTTTCTACATCTACTTTCAGAACGTCTCTATAGTATACACCGTTGGAAATTTAATTTCGCATAATAGGGAAATGAATGTTAAATTCTTAGCCGGCTGAAATCCAATCTACCAGTGTACATTTCAATAGAACGTCGCGATGAATTCTAATAAATTTAATTGTTCTACTGGATCGCACGCCGCGATTTGTAGAGGTACAAAGTTATTTAGAAACTACATTTAATAGTTTTTTTGGGGATATTTCAAAAAATGTGTGTATCGGTAGGTACAGTTTTGAAACAGCAACAAATTTTGTTGAAATAAGGGAAAAAATAATTCAATTTTCAGCTAGAATTATACCTCAGCTCAGTAATATGAGATGACATCTGTATGGCAGGTTTGGCTATAGTTTAGCAGAAAGCGGTGGACTATTTTTTAGAGTTATTTTATTTTCTGTTTTTTTAAAATAATCTAAGTTTATTTTTGGAGTTTCCTTTTTATTATTTTCTTAGAATTTACTTTCTTTTTCAAGCCATTGTGACAAAAAGACATATCTTCATATTTCTATTTTAATATTAGTGATATTTTTTCAATAAATTATCGTTTAAAAATTCTCATTTCTTTTTAATCGACTCGACGTTCCCTCATCGCAACATGTTTTAATACTGTCGAAGTGTCGAAACCGTCGAAATTATTTGATTTTTAATCTAACCGAAACAAAACGAGGTGTGAAGTCCAGTAGAACAATTAAATTTATTAGAATTGATCGCGACGTTTTATTGAAATGTACACTGGTAGACTGGATTTCAGCCGGCTAAGAATTTAACATTGATTTTCTTATTATGCCCGAATAATTTTCCAACGGTGTATAAACTGCTCCACAAAAGTTAAGAAAGTTCGCAAATTTTGCGATTATTTTAAAGTTACAGACTTTTTGGATCACCGAATTTTAAAATGTGCGAAATTAAATGTTTTCTTTCATATCTGAGTGGATTTTTTGCCCCTACCCTCTACAACTCATACTAAATTTGGCGATCAAAAAACCTGCAATTTTTAAATTATACCCAATACTTGTGAACTTCCTTAACTTTTGCGGAGCAGTTCATATACTATAGAGGTAGATGTAGAAAAAAAATGTATCGCACAATAATCTACGATTCTTGAGCAACATTTCTCGATAGTTCGTGATGATCCTTCATCTCTTCTTTCATCCAAAATCGTTTCTCGATGATCAAAAATTTCAACAACGACGATGATCCAAAAGAACATGTTACCATTTACCATATGGTTAAATACGCAGGCAGCAACCTTCCACGAAAGGGGCATAATAATTAGCTTAAGCATCGTAGCTTAAGAAGCAGCTCAAGAATCGTAGGATTATTGTGCGATAATTTTTTTTCTACATCTACTTTCAGGACGATACCCAACGAACAGTACCTAATGCAAATTCCCCGTGGGTATCCATTGGCTCTTTCTGTGCTCGGCATCGACGGCGGCCTTCACCTGGGCGCAAATGTGAGCGACGTTCGCGCCCGCCGCGACGACGGCGCTCACCAAGTGCCTGTATTCCAGCTCCAATTTGCGGCCGTGTTCGAACATCTCCTTGGCCGCTTTGCCCGACAATTTGTCGACGCCGTGACGGCCGTCGCGCGCCTCCCTGATCTGTTTGGCGCCCTTAAACTTGACCAGCAAGACCACCGGATAGAGCCGGTGCCGGTGCAGGCGCTGCACCATCGCTATCGAACCGTCCAGCATGCAGTGCAAGCGGTTCTGCGACACCTGTCGATTTTGTAAAACTCGATAATGTCACAAAATAAGCGAGATAGAACTATCCTTTTTATCTTGCCGTGTAGAAAAAATAGTTCTCTACAAGTTTGGAAGAACGAAAGATTTTCAAAAATCGCTCAGTTTTCGAGTTATTTTGATTTTTTCAGGAAACTTATCTAAATTACTAATTTTACTACAACTCGGCAAAAAAACTCAATTATCTAGCAAAATAATCGAAATAAAACTATCCTTTTCATCTTTCCTTATAGAAAAAACAGCTCTCTACAATTTTTGAAGAAAGAAAAATTCTCAAAAATCGCTCAGTTTTCGAGATATTTAGAATTTTTGAGGAAACGTATCTAAATTACCAATTTTCCTAGAGCTCTACAAAAAACTCAACTATCTCGCAAAATAATTGAAATAGAACTATCCTTTTCATCTTATCTTATAGAAAAAACATTTCTCTACAATTTCGGAAGAACGAAAAATTTTCAAAAATCGCTCAGTTTTCGAGTTATTTTGATTTTTTCAGGAAACGTATCTAAATTACTAATTTTACTACAACTCGACAAAAAAACTCAATTATCTCGCAAAATAATCAAAATAAAACTATCCTTTTCATCTTGTCTTATAGAAAAAACCGTTTTCTACAATTTTCGAAGAACGAAAAATTTTCAAAAATCGTTCAGTTTTCGAGATATTTAGAATTTTTGAAGAAACGTATCTAAATTACCAATTTTACTACAACTCTACAAAAAAACTCAATTATCTAGCAAAATAATAGAAATCAAACTATCCTTTTCATCTTTCCTTATAGAAAAAACAGCTCTCTACAATTTCGGAAGAACGAAAAATTTTCAAAAATCGCTCAGTTTTCGAGATATTTAGAATTTTTGAGGAAACGTATCTAAATTACCAATTTTCCTACAGCTCTACAAAAAACTCAACTATCTCGCAAAATAATCGAAATAGAACCATCATTTTCATCTCATCTTATAGAAAAAATACTTCTCTACAATTTCGGAAGAACGAAAAATTTTCAAAAATCGCTCAGTTTTCGAGTTATTTTGATTTTTTCAGGAAACGTATCTAAATTACTAATTTTACTACAACTCGACAAAAAAACTCAATTATCTCGCAAAATAATCAAAATAAAACTATCCTTTTCATCTTGTCTTATAGAAAAAACCGTTTTCTACAATTTTCGAAGAACGAAAAATTTTCAAAAATCGTTCAGTTTTCGAGATATTTAGAATTTTTGAAGAAACGTATCTAAATTACCAATTTTACTACAACTCTACAAAAAAACTCAATTATCTAGCAAAATAATAGAAATCAAACTATCCTTTTCATCTTTCCTTATAGAAAAAACAGCTCTCTACAATTTCGGAGGAACGAAAAATTTTCAAAAATCGCTCAGTTTTCGAGTTATTTTGATTTTTTCAGGAAACTTATCTAAATTACAAGTTTTACTACAACTCGGCAAAAAAACTCAATTATCTAGCAAAATAATCGAAATAAAACTATCCTTTTCATCTTTCCTTATAGAAAAAACAGCTCTCTACAATTTTTGAAGAAAGAAAAATTCTCAAAAATCGCTCAGTTTTCGAGATATTTAGAATTTTTGAGGAAACGTATCTAAATTACCAATTTTCCTACAGTTCTACAAAAAACTCAACTATCTCGCAAAATAATTGAAATAAAACTATCCTTTTCAACTTGCCGTATAGAAAAAATAGTTCTCTACAATTTTGGAAGAACGAAAAATTTTCAAAAATCGCCCAGTTTTCCAGATATTTCGAATGTTTCAACTAACCCACATAACACTCACCGATCTGACGGCCGACACGGTCAGGCACTCGTAGCACGAACCCCTCCGACGATAGTCGAGCGTCGCCCCTTCGGCCAGCTCGCGATCGAGCAGCGCCTGCGCGCAACGACCGCGCGTCTCCGTCGCCGCCCTGCCAAAGGTGTCGGGAAAGTCCTGCACCAATTTGTCGGCGACGCATTCGGCCAACGGACCGAGGACGATCACCGGCCGATAGTCGGGCCTTTGTAGTCGTTCGACGCGCTGGTACGACGAGTGCGACAGGTCCTCGTGCAACGAACCTACTGGATGATACGCGAGGTTTTATATTTCGTATGGGTGATCGAGGAAAAATGATGGATGTCTTCGTGCAAAGAATCTACTGGACAATGGAGCGTTCTAATGGTTTTAGAGCATTGTAAATGGTTTTGGAGCTTTCTAAATGGTTTTGGAGTGGTCTAAATGGTTTTGGAGCTTTCTAAATGGTTTTGGAGCATTGTAAATGAGTATGGAGCGTTTTAAATGGTTTTGGAGCATTCTAAGAGACTATGGAGCATTCTAAATGGTTTTGGGACATTTTAAGAGACTATGGAGCGTTCTAAATGGTTTTGGAGCATTCTAAATGACTATGGAGCGTTCTAAATGGTTTTGGAGCATTGTAAATGAGTATGGAGCGTTTTAAATGGTTTAGGAGCATTCTAAAAGACTATGGAGCGTTCTAAATGGTTTTGGAACGTTCTGAATGGTTCTGAAGCGTTCTTAATTGTTCTGAAGCGTTCTAAATGATTCTGAAGAGTTCTAAATGATTCTGAAGCGTTCTAAATGGTTCTAAAGCGTTCTAAATGATTCTGAAGCGTTCTAAATGGTTCTAAAGCGTTCTAAATGCTTCTGAAGCGTTCTAAATGGTTCTGAAGCGTTCTAAGAGACTATCGAACGTTCTAAAAGACTATCGAGCGTTCTAAATGGTTTTGGAGCATTCTAAGAGACTATCGAACGTTCTAAATGACTATGGAGCATTGTGCATGACTATGAAGCATTCTAAATGGTTCAGCAGTTCTAAACGAATATGGACCGTTTTAAATGCTTCTGAAGCTTTCCAAATGACTATGGAGTGTTCTAAATGCTTCTGAAGCGTTCTGAATGACTATGGAGCGTTCTAAATGGGTTTGGAGCATTCCCAGAGATTATCTAAATTCTCAGAGACTATCAGAGCGTTCTAAAAGATTGTGGAATGTTCTAAATGGTTCTGAAGCGCTCTAAATGGTTCTTGAGAGCTCTAAATAATTATGGAGTATTCAGAGCGAAACTGTAGCGTTCTAAATGGTTCCAGACAGTTTTAAACGATTCTGCAGCGTTCCAGATTGTTCCGGACAGTTCTAAACAATGCAGGCCGTGAACTATTGACCTTACCCTCGTACTATGGATACATCAATGCTCGATACGAGAAGTACAGTTGTATTATAAAAAAAAGCACAAGTAATAGAAAGAGACATTAACGTCATCTTATTCGTGTAAAACCGGCTGGGATTATTGGAGCTTATCAATCGTCAAAAGTTGTCAAAATTGTAAATAATTTAAGTATCATTGGTCATTATTTCGTTTAATTGACTTCCATGATTTCAATTTTTTTTTTCAACATATGACATTTGATAAGCTAAAATAATTCTAATATGATGACGTTAATGTCTCATTCTATTACTTGTACTTTTTTTTATAATACAACTGAAAGTTCCTGTTCCAAGTTGTGCAATATTTATATGTTCTTACCTGAATCCGAGTACCAGCCGGGGGAGAGATTGCAAAAACTGGCCAATTCTTTGGAATCCCTGGACGTGTTCAAACCGGAATTGCCGCTGCCGCTTCTTTGGTATTTTTTCCGGCGGAAAAAGCTGCGTCTGGCGGTCGCCGTCGAACGATCTGTGTAAATTATTAATTGTTATACGTACATAATTGTCGATTCGTTTTTAGTTGATTATTTAGAATTTTTCAGAAATGTATCTAAATTACAAATTTTGCTACAACTCTACAAAAAAACTCTATTATCTCGCGAAATAATAGAGATAGGACCATTCTCTTCATCTTGTCTTATAGCAAAAACAGTTCTCTACAATTTCGGAAGAACGAAAAATTTTCAAAAATCGCTTAGTTTTCGAGATATGATAAGAATAAAACACCATAGGGTATAGATGATATGGCACCATTACGATGGTAGGGTGTGGATGAAAAGTTCTCGACCCGATACACCGAGGGCGCTCCAATCAACAAAACAAATTCCTGGTTCTCCTTCTAGAGAGTTCTAAGTGATGATGAAGCGTTCTAAATGAGTCTAGAGAGTTTTAAGTGATAATGAAGCGTTCTAAATGAGTCTAGAGAGTTCTAAATGTTGATGAAGCGTTCTAAATGAGTCTAGAGACTTCTAAAGAGACTAGACTTCTAAATGATGATTAAGTGTTCTAAGTGAGTTTAAAGTGATAATGAAGCGTTCTAAATGAGTCTAGAGAGTTCTAAGTGATGATGAAGCGTTCTAAGTGATGATGAAGCGTTCTAAATGATGATGAAGCGTTCTAATTGAGTCTAAAGAGTTCTAAATGATGATGAAGCGTTCTAATTGAGTCTAAAGAGTTCTAAATGATGATGAAGCGTTCTAAATGAGTCTAGAGAGTTCTAAATGATGATGAAGCGTTCTAATTGAGTCTAAAGAGTTCTAAATGATGATGAAGCGTTCTAATTGAGTCTAAAGAGTTCTAAATGATGATGAAGCGTTCTAATTGAGTCTAGAGAGTTCTAAATGATGATGAAGCGTTCTAAATGAGTCTACAAAGTTCTAAATGATGAAGCGTTCTAATTGAGTCTAGAGAGTTCTAAATGATGATGAAGCGTTCTAATTGAGTCTAGAGAGTTCTAAGTGATAATGAAGCGTTCTAAATGATGCAAGATTGCAAAGTGTAGTTCTCGTCAAATTAATGGTTGTACTGTGTACACTCGTTCGCCGATAAAGCAGCCGTTCTCTCCAAATGTGGTTTCACTACAATACAGTTTTCTATTCGACACTTACTTTCGATGGAATCCCCGCCGCCGGCGGCGCCTCGCCTGAGCAACAGCTCCTCTTCGACCTTGTATTTGCTCGGTACGACGCCGCATTGCTGTCTTCTGCCTTCGCCGTCCAATTTCCAGGCTCGCCATTTGCCCGGCGCCCCGTTGAACATCGTATTGTCCACGTAGATGACTTCGTCCTTGGCGAAGGACAATTCGGGCGGTTCGGTCGCGTCGTCGCCGGCGCGATCGAAGCCGCAGCGGACGTACAGGCTGTCGCCCGGTTTGTCTTTGATCTCGTTGTATTCTGCGATGGGAAAAAAAAGAAAAAAAACTGGAGCGGAGACGACGTTGTGGTGAGATAGAAGCGTGTTTTATGTTGTTGCACGCGTACAACTAAAAACATCTCGATTGTCTCGCGAAATAATGGGGATAGGAGCAACCTCTTCATCTTGTCTTATAGAAAAAAAGTTTTTTACGATTTTTGAAAAACGAAAAATTTTCGTAAATTGCTCAGTTTTCGAGATATTTTGATTTTTTTAGGAAATGTATGTAAATTACAAATTTTACTACAACTCTACAAAAAATTCAATTATCTTGCAAAATAATCGAAATATAACCATCCTTCTCATCTTGTCTTATAGAAAAAACATTTCTCTACAATTTCGGAAAAACGAAAAATTTTCAAAAGTCGTTCAGTTTTCGAGATATTTAGAATTTTTCAGGAAACGTATCTAAATTACCAATTTTACTACAACTCGACAAAAAAACTCAATTATCTCGCAAAATAATCGAGATAAAACTATCCTTTTCATCTTGTCTTATAGAAAAAACAGTTCTCTACAATTTTTGAAGAACGAAAAATTTTGAAAAATCGCTCAATTTTTGAGATATTTTGATTTTTTTAGGAAATGTATGTAAATTACAAATTTTACTACAACCCGACAAAAAATCTCATTTATCTAGCAAAATAATCGAGATACAACTATCCTTTTCATCTTGTCTTGTAGAAAAAACAGTTCTCTACAATTTTTGAACAACGAAAAATTTTGAAAAATCGCTCAATTTTTGAGATATTTTGATTTTTTTTAGGAAATGTATGTAAATTACCAATTTTACTACAACTCTACAAAAAAAACTCAATTATCTCGCAAAATAATCGAGATAGAACCATCCTTTTAATCTTGTCTTATAGAAAAAACAGTTCTCTACAATTTTTCAATTAATAATTTTAAAAAATATTTTTTTTTCGAAAACGTCATAGTGTTCGACAAAAATTAACTCCGGAACGGTTAAAGATATCATTCTCGGGTTTGTTTTGTTAGTTGAATTAATAATTTTGAAAAAATAAATTTTTATCGAAAACCTAATAGTTTCCGAGAAAATGACGGAAATTCTCGAAAATCGCAACATATCGGTTTCAGCTGCATAGTTACGAAGACTTTTTGCTCTAACTCCTGAACGGTTAAAAATATCATTCTCGGGTTTGTTTTGTTAGTTGAACGAAACTCCAATTAATAACTTTAAAAGAATAATTTTTTATCAAAAACCTAATAGTTTCCGAGAAAATGACGGAAATTCTCGAAAATCGCAACGTGTCGGTTTCAGCTGCATAGTTACGAATATTATTTTTGCTCTAACTCCTGAACGGTTAAAGATATCATTCTCGGGTTTGTTTTGTTAGTTGAACGCAACTCCAATTAATAATTTTGAAAGAATAATTTTTTATCGAAAACCTAATAGTTTCCGAGAGAATGACGGAAATTCTCGAAAATCCCAAAGTGTCAGTTTCAACTGTATAGTTATTTAGAGCATTTTAAACAAACTTACTGTCGATGCGATAATGCGCCAGCACGCTGACCTTATCGGCCGGTTTGGCCAGCTCGTACGCCGCCTCTTCGGCGGTCGCCGCCCTCAAATCGCTACCGTTATACTCCAATATCTGATCGCCCGTCCTCAATCCGGCGTGATAAGCCAACGAATCCGGTTGCACCGAATGAATGAAAATCCCCGCGGCGTTCCCGCCCACCAACGATATACCCAAATTGGACGTTTTCAACGTCTCGATGCACAAGTATCTCGGATCTTCGCTCGACGATCTGTATTATAATTAATTAATCGTAATGATAAACAGCGATTAAGCAATTTCACCTCGAGTTGGTCGTTATGATGTTCGGTGATTGCCGTTGCGGATGCAACGACGGTTGTTGCAATTGCAATTGCATTTGCATCTGCATCTGCAATTGCATCGACGAACTCTTCCGGATCTCCTTGGGGGAATTGCAAGGCGTCGCCTCCTCCGTCTCGTCCTCTTCATCATCATCGTCGTCTTCGTCTTCATCGTCGTCGTCTGATTCGCTATCGGTACCCGAACGATCGACGCCCAATTCTCGGTATTTATCCGGGCTGTATTGCACCAGCATCGTGATCGAATTGCCGCATTGCCTCAACACGTTCGCCGCCAAATTGTAGGTGGCGTTGCGCATGTTGATGCCGCACACTTCGAGCAATTGATCGCCGATTTGCAAGCCCACTCGACTGGCGAGGCTGTTCTCGTTCACCGTCGACACGAAGATGCCGCCCGTTTGGGGGCAATTGATCTGGATGCCCAACGGTTCGTTGGACTTGTCGATGTGGACGCGCCGCAATTCGCCCGGCAACGGTTTGTGCGCCCACGGGCAGAAGTCTTTGGGATTGGAGGCGGCCGAGGCGGCGGCGGCGGCGGCGGCGGGGCGGGCGAAGGCGGTCGAATGATCGCCCGGGCTGCTCAGCACCTCTACGTGGAATATGGGCATCGGGCTGCCGCGCTCCGAACCGCCGCCGCCGCTGCAGCCGCCGCCGCCGCCTCGTTCGATGCTGCCCGTGCTCACCTGGAAAGTATTCGTTGTTCAATGCTTGGATATACAGAGTGGTCCGTTCGAAATAACAAGGTTATGACCACTCTGTGTAAGGCAATAGGCCACTCTATCTAAGGCTAGTTTGTCAGGTAATTTTAAACGCCCTGTACATAGACCATGAAAACTCGATTTGGTTTCATTTAGTATTGTGTTTGGACATTATCGATACCATATTTCAAACTACTAGGTGCATCACCTAGAAATCATAGATAATGCATTCGACCGTTTAAAAAAAAAATTAAATGACTTAAAAATTGAGCATTATTGGCATATCATATTATAATCAAAGTCTAGTTAAAAAGAGCCACAGAATCCAAAAATGAAGTAAAAAAATGGTACTTTCCATTTGAACAATAGCCGGAAGTATGGATGAAAATATTTTAGAAAACCCACATTTGATTCATCTTTTACTCCTAAATTCTTATAATTAATTAACTCATTTTCGAAGTCCATCGTACTTTTAGCTTTAAATCAGCAATATTACAAATTATTTCTGAGCAATCGGATAAAAGTCCATAAGCTTTTTTGCATACTATTCTAAATTATATTTAAATAGTAAAAGGGGCAGAAAGAGTGTTTGAGTACTCGCGACCAGACTCATTGTAAAAAAGTTCTAAATTTCGAATAAATTGTACCAATTACACCAACAAAGGAGTTTTCTTTCTTGGCCTTAAAGGGTCGACATTACACTAAAAATAACACTTACGAAGAAGAAGAGCCCGATAAACTTAAACGTGTGTCGATAAGAACAAACACTTACTTTACTGCTGACGCTGGGATTGGTGTAGAATATACGAAGAAGAAGAAGAAGAAGAAGAGCCCGATAAACTCAAACGTGTGTCAATAAGAACAAACACTTACTTTGCTGGTGACGCTGGGATTGGTGAAGAATATACGAAGAAGAAGAAGAAGAGCCCGATAAACTCAAATGTGTGTCGATAAGAACAAACACTTACTTTGCTGGTGACGCTGTGATTGGTGAAGAATATACGAAGAAGAAGAGCCCGATAAACTCAAATGTGTGTCGATAAGAACAAACACTTACTTTGCTGGTGACGCTGGGATTGGTGAAGAATATACGAAGAAGAAGAAGAGCCCGATAAACTCAAACGTGTGTCGATAAGAACAAACACTTACTTTGCTGGTGACGCTGTGATTGGTGAAGAATATACGAAGAAGAAGAAGAGCCCGATAAACTCAAACGTGTGTCGATAAGAACAAACACTTACTTTGCTGGTGACGCTGGGATTGGAAGGCACCCGGAACCGCTGGTTCTTCCTGGGAAACGTGCCGCCCGATTCGACGACGTCGGGCCGGCGTCGCGACGCCCCGGCGGCGACGTCGGCCGACGGGCTGTGCGCGTGATGATGGAACGGTTCGAAGCTGAAACTGAAGCTGTCGCGCGATCGGTCCGAATGCGTCGGGTAGGGCGCGTGGAAACGCGACTGGTTCTGTTGCTGTTGTTGTTGCTGTTGGAGTTGTTGTTGTTGATATTGATGATGGTGGTGGTGGTGGTGGTCGCGTTCCGAATCGGAACCGTATTTCGATAGAGCTGCCGAAAAATAACCCTCTAAGGTCCGGTTGTAGATGAACGTTAGTTCGACTGAACTTTTCGAGATAATGATTTAAATGCAAGTTAAAATGAAATGTCTCGGAAAATTTTCTGTTTTTTTATCTATAACCTTCTAACATTATTACCAATCGAGGTAATGAAGTGAGGTTTGCTGGAAAAAAGTCGAAAAAGAATAAAACGCGAAAGTTTAAGGAAAATGCTTAGAGTAGTTTTCGAGAAAATGACGGAAATTCTCGAAAATCGCAACATATCGGTTTCAGCTGTGTAGTTACGAAGATTTTTTGCTCTAACTACGAAACGGTTAAAGATATCATTCTCGGGTTTGTTTTGTTAGTTGAACGAGACTCCAATTAATAATTTTGAAAGAATAAATTTTTATTAAAAATCTAATAGTTTCCGAGAAAATGACGGAAATTCTTTAAAATCGTAACTTATCGGTTTCAGCTGTATAGTTACGAAGATTTTTTGCTTTAACTCCTGAACGGTTAAAGATATTATTCTCGGGTTTGTTTTGTTAGTTAAAGGAAACTTCAATTAATAATTTTGAAAGAATAACTTTTTATCGAAAACCTAATAGTTTCCGAGAAAATAACGAAAATTCTCGAAAATCGCAACGCGTCAGTTTCAGCTGGATAGTTACGGAGATTTTTTGCTCTAACTCCTGAACGGTTAAAGATATCATTCTCGGGTTTATTTTGTTAGTTGAACGAAACGTCATTTAATAATTTTGAAAGAATAATTATTTTTCGAAATCCTAATAGTTTCTGAGAAAATGACGGAAATTCTCGAAAATCGCAAAGTGTCTGTTGTTGCTGTTGCTGAGTGTAAGCTAGCCGAATGCGATAAAACGCAAGAAGTAACAGAAGTAAGAAGAAGAATAAGAAGAAGATGATGAAGAAAAAGAAGATGATGATGAAGAAAAAGAAGATGATTAAGATGATGATGATGATAAAGAATAAGAAAAATAACTTACCGGATCTAGTAGGTTTCTTGTAATACGACAGCATCTCCTTATCGACGTATCTGTGCACTGGAAAATCCAAACTATTGTCGGAATTGACGTTCGAACCGAGCCTACTATTCGCACCGTCGGCGATTTTCAACCGTTCGAACGAATCGCCGGCGTCGGCGCCGAAATGACGGGAATTATCGACGCTCTTGTACACCGAATGCCTCGAATACACCGGCCTGACGGACGCCGAAGACGGCGACGCCGACGGCGCTAAAGGCGCCGGCGTCGAGTTCCTGTAGTTGTAGCTGTCGCTCGTTTTGGGCGCCAGAAGGGACAGTGGCGGCCGTTGTTTGGCGCGCGTCACGACGGTGCCGCCGTCGGGCGCGAGGACGGGCGTGGCGCGGGCCTTGGGCCACGTCCCGCCGTTGCTTTTGTCCTCTTTCGCTTGGGCGAAGTGTTTTTTGGCCGCTGCGGAAACGGGAAAGGACGGTGTTTTATTACGGTATTTTTTTATGGCGGCTCGTAGCCTTGACAAAGGCTTGTAGCCTTGATAAAAGCTCGTAGCCTTGATAAAAGCTCGTAGCCTTGATAAAAGCTCGTAGCCTTGATAAAAGCTCGTAGCCTTGATAAAGGCTCGTATTCGGGGCGTCGCGTTTGCCTGAAACGCGACCTTGAATGCTTTGAACTTGGCGGTTTTGGGTTGTTGTTGTGGAGTTGCTAAGGAGGTTATTTCGAATTGACGGCTTTGCATTGGTTGTTATGGAGTAACTAAGGAGATTCTTTTGAATTGACAGATGTACATTGTTGTTATGGATTAACTAAGGAGATTCTTTCAAACTGACAGATTTACATTGTTGCTATGGAGTAACTAAGATTCTTTCACATTTGACAGATTTACATTGTTGTTATGGAGTAACAAAGGAGATTCTTTTAAATTGACAGGTTTACATTGTTGCTATGGAGTAACTATGGAGATTCTTTTAAATTGACAGTTTTACATTGTTGTTATGGAGTAACAAAGGAGATTCTTTTAAATTGACAGGTTTACATTGTTGTTATGGAGTAACAAAGGAGATTCTTTTAAATTGACAGGTTTACATTGTTGTTATGGAGTAACAAAGGAGATTCTTTTAAATTGACAGGTTTACATTGTTGCTATGGAGTAACTATGGAGATTCTTTTAAATTGACAGTTTTACATTGTTGTTATGGAGTAACAAAGGAGATTCTTTTAAATTGACAGGTTTACATTGTTGTCATGGAGTTACTAAGGAGATTCTTACAAATTGACACCCGGTATGTTTAAAACACCTGTATTATAGAAGAATGGGAAATGTTCCTAAACCTTACGGTTTAACAGATATTTCGATTAAAAAAAACCGAGAAAACTACTTTTCTCAATATTTTCCGAAAACGAATTTTTTCGTGGGAAACTACTATACAGGGTGTCCCTGAAAGTGTGGGAAATCTCTCGGATCCATATAGAAGTTTACAAAAATGAGATGAGAAGTTCCTATAAAGTTTTTCCCCACAGGCCCTCCCTACGAAGATATGCGTCCTTGAAGTGCGCCGCTGGAAATAGGTCTTAAATATCTTCTAAAGTACTTGATATAATTAAACAAAAATTTAATATGATGGACACTAGTAAGGACCTCACAAAATAATGTCCTTGAAACATATTTAACTTGTTTTGTTTAGCAGGGCTGGGCTAAGGTTTACACCTTAATGCCTAAATTTTCAACACCCTGTATGATAAAGACTTTCTCGTAAACTGTTCATTTTATCGACAATTGAGAGGATTACTTTTTATAAGTTTATGATTCAAGCTTTCCAGGTTTTTGTTTTTTAAGTCTTTATCATACGGGGTGTTGAAAATTTATGCATTAAGGTGTTTGCATTAGCCCAGCCCTGGTAAACTACAAAAGCTAAATATGTTTCAAGGACACTAATTTTTGAGGCCCTCAGTATTGTCCATCATATTAAATTTTTGTTTAATTATATCAAGTACTTTAAAAGATATTTAAGGAAAACCTATTTCCAGTGGTGCCCGTCTGGGACTCATATCTTCGTAGGGAGGACCTGTAGGGAAAATTTTTATAGGAACTTCTCATCTTATTTTTTCATGTTCTATATGGATCTGAGAGATTTTCACTTTCAGGGACACCCTGTATACAAATGTTGGAGAAACGGGTAGAGAATACTTGGAGAGATTTTAAAACAAAACGTTGGTACTCGATTTGAGAAAAGTGCAAAAAAACGCTTATTTTTTCTTATTTATGTAACTACGTAGATTCATTCAATTTGACAGTGTTACATTGGTCGTTACGGAGTAACTAAGGAGATTCTTTCAATATGACATTTTTACATTGGTTGTTATGGAGTAACTAAGGAGATTCTTTCAATATGACAGTTTTACATTGGTTGTTATGAAGTAACTAAGGTGATTCTTTTGAAGTGACAGTTTTACATTGGTTGTTATGGAGTAACTAAGGAGATTCTTTCAATATGACAGTTTTACATTGGTTGTTATGAAGTAACTAAGGTGATTCTTTTGAATTGACAGATTTACATTGTTGTTATGGAGTAACTAAGGAGATTCTTTCAATATGACAGTTTTACATTGGTTGTTATGGAGTAACTAAGGAGATTCTTTCAAATTTACAGTTTTACATTGGTTGTTATGGAGTAACCAGGGACTTTGTTTACGTTTACGTCAAAGCGACCCTCTATAGTCACGTTTCAAGTTTAAAATCGGAGGCGCCGCCAAATACGAAACCAGCTCTATTCCCACCTAAAACGATTCCTTACCTCCAGATTTCTTCAACGTACCGGGACGGTAACTGTCGATGACCAAATCCAATTCGGCTATCGCCTGTTCGTGTCCGAAATCGACCGGATTCGGGGAACTGTTGCGATATTTCTTCTTCTCCTCCTTGGAATGCCTCCACGGGCCGCGCATCATGTCGAATTTCTCCTTCAGCCAGGCGCCGCCGTTGCCGTTGTTGTTGGTATTGTTGTTGTTGCTATTGTTGTTGGTATTGTTGTTGATACTGTTGTTCTTCTCCTGTGTCGGGTATTTCGAATCGCGCGCCGGCCAATCTTCGGTTTGCGAACTGCGGTTCTCTTTTTTGTATCGACGCACCGGAGTGAAGACGTTCGGACATTCCGGGTAGCTCATTTTCAAGGTCGTTATGTTGACGACGTCGGTGGTATCGTCGTTGAGGATGCTGATGGCTTCGTGGAGGCTTTCAGCGTCGTCCATGGATTTGTCGTTGATCTACAGACGATGCGATTGGCGTAATATACAGATTGATTCGTTTTAGTTTGCAATGTAAGTTATACAGTTTGCTCCATTTTTGATCGCAACATAGGTTATATAGGCCATGGGTGCGATAAAGACAACTTCCATTAGACACTTATAAAGGAAAAAGAAAGAGTGACATTTGTGTCATTGCAACTATTAATCTTTCTTTGTTCCACTCATAGAAATGATCATGTTGCAATCGGAAATGGAGCAACCCGTATGTATAGGCTATGGGTGTGATGAAGACAATTTACATTTCAATTATCTCGTAAAATAATCGAGATAGGACAATCCTTTTCGTCTTGTCTTGTAGAAAAAACAGTTCTCAACAATTTTTGAAGGACGGAAAATTTTCGAAAATCGCTGTTTTCGAGATATTTTGATTTTTTTAGGAAATGTATGTAAATAACAAATTTTACTACAACTCTACAAAAAACTCAATTATCTTGCAAAATAATCGAAATATAACCATCCTTCTCATCTTGTCTTATAGAAAAAACATTTCTCTTCAATTTCGGAAAAACGAAAAATTTTCAAAAGTCGTTCAGTTTTCGAGATATTTAGAATTTTTCAGGAAACGTATCTAAATTACCAATTTTACTACAACTCGACAAAAAAACTCAATTATCTCGCAAAATAATCGAGATAAAACTATCCTTTTCATCTTGTCTTATAGAAAAAGCAGTTCTCTACAATTTTTGAAGAACGAAAAATTTTGAAAAATCGCTCAATTTTTGAGATATTTTGATTTTTTTAGGAAATGTATGTAAATTACAAATTTTACTACAACCCGACAAAAAATCTCATTTATCTAGCAAAATAATCGAGATACAACTATCCTTCTCATCTTGTCTTATAGAAAAAACATTTCTCTACAATTTCCGAAGAACGAAAAATTCTCAAAAATCGCTCAGTTTTCGAGATATTTCGAATTTTCTACAAAACGCATCCAAATCGCCACTCTTCCTTTTCCCTTTACAACCCTCTAACGGAAGTTGTCTCTATCGCACCTATAGTAACCTACATTGCCACAATTGTACATACAAATCGACTACTCACCCTCAGCACCCTATCCCCGACGGTCAGACTCCCATCTCTCGCCGCCAAACTCCCCTCGCTGATCCTGTGTATAAACACACCCGCCTTCAACGACACCCCGTGACAACCGGGCACCAATCGAGCCGTATGTATCCACTTCGTCACCCTCTCCTGATCACCACCACCACCACCACCACCGCCGCCGCTTCTAATCGATCTGCTCCTCTTCACCAGCAACCTAGCCAGCGGCATGCTCGATCTTATAGCCTCGGTGACCATCCTCAACGAGCCCTGACTACAATCGATATCGTTCACTTTCAATATCCTATCGTCGCGAAAGATGCGCCCTTCGGCCGTCGAACCGGCCACGACGGAGGCCACGTAGACGCCCGACGGCTCGCCGGCCAGCTCGACGGCCTCCTCGTCGCCGGGCGTCAGCTCCAATTCGACGACGTCGGTGCGCGAGTACTCGCCCGTCTGGCGGTCGAGCGGCTGCGGTTGCAGTTCGAGCGCGTCGCGCAACGCCTTCGACTGCTCGACGAGCTCGTCGCGCAGCGACCGGAGCGCGTCGAGGTCGCGCAGCGCGTCCGCCAAGGCGGAGACGGCGCGGTCGCGCTCCTTGCGCATGCTGTCGCAGAGCGAACGGATGCTTTCGCGCTCCAAGACGATCTTGTCGCGTTCGGCGAACGCCCAGTCGCGTCGGCCTGGAAATTCGATTGGGGAGTTACTTTAAGGGGGATCGCTTAGGGCTCGGGCAGAGCCTGGAAATTCGATTGGGGAGTTACTTAAGGGGGATCGCTTAGGGCTCGGGCAGAGCCTGGAAATTCGATTGGGGAGTTACTTAAGGAGGATCGCTTAGGGCTCGGGCAGAGCCTGGAAATTCGATTGGGGAACGTGAGTTACTTTAAGGGGGATCGCTTGAGGTTCGGGCGGACGGAAAGCGGTCTGTGGCGGCAGGCAGCGATAGATTTTTTTAGTATTTATTCAGTATTCAGTATTTTTTAGCACAAATTAGTATGCTTCGAATGTACCGGTTCAAATTGAATTCTGCTCGTGCAAACTGCTATCGGGGGTGGTTTTTCAGAGAAGGGGCGAGAGGTACAAAATCCGTTTGTGTATATTTGTGAAGCACAAATTAGTATGCTTCGAATGTACCGGTTCAAATTGAATTCTGTTCGTCGAAACGGGTACTTTACTCTTGAGCCCGAATCGAGGTAAATATAATTCGCCCTTATTTCAAGGAGAATTAATCTATTTAGCTGCTTGTTTTGGATGGCACAAATTAGCACAAATTCTGGCCGTTGTATTTATACCCTTTTTTTATTTTATTTTTGTATGTGGGCCTGCTAGCTTAATATTAAGCTAACAGTACCACGATTTTTGTCAAAACGGCACGTAGTACAAATTTTTTTAGTGGCACAAATTAGCACAAAATAAGCACTAAATAATGCAATAGGTCCGAATTGATTCTGCTGATTTGGTCCTGTTAGCTTGACAGAGGTTGTCGCGAGAATGTTTTGAAGAATCGCATGATTTGATAAATATAGGATTGAAGAGTGCACAACGAACTGGAGAAAACGAATTGAAACGGTTTGATCGCTCATTTTGACGACGATCGCCTGAGAAATTTGTAATTTTGTAGTAATAGATCGCCTGTCGCTGCGACACAATCTGACAGAATTCAGTAGACCGCGTTCTGTTTGACAGATCTAATCCAAAGTCACTTATACAACCAGACCGCCTGACCGCCTCGGTCCAATATCGCTACACGCCGCGACAGACCGCTTTTTGTCTGCTCGAGCCTTTAAAACTCTCTAGACTCATTTAGAATGCTTCATCATCATTTAAAACTCTCTAGACTCATTTAGAACGCTTCATCATCATTTAGAACTCTCTAGACTCATTTAGAACGCTTCATCATCATTTAGAACTCTCTAGACTCATTTAGAACTCTCTAAACTCATTTAGAACGCTTCATCGTCATTTAGAACTCTCTAGACTCATTTAGAACGCTTCATCATCATTTAGAACTCTCTAGACTCATTTAGAACGCTTCATTATCACTTAGAACTCTCTAGACTCATTTAGAACGCTTCCTCATCATTTATAACTCTCTAGACTCATTTAGAACGCTTCATCATCATTTAGAACTCTCTAGACTCATTTAGAACGCTTCATTATCACTTAGAACTCTCTAGACTCATTTAGAACGCTTCCTCATCATTTAGAACTCTCTAGACTCATTTAGAACGCTTCATCATCATTTAGAACTCTCTAGACTCATTTAGAACGCTTCATCATCATTTAAAACTCTCTAGACTCATTTAGAACGCTTCATTATCACTTAGAACTCTCTAGACTCATTTAGAACGCTTCATCATCATTTAAAACTCTCTAGACTCATTTAGAACGCTTCATTATCACTTAGAACTCTCTAGACTCATTTAGAACGCTTCCTCATCATTTATAACTCTCTAGACTCATTTAGAACGCTTCCTCATCATTTATAACTCTCTAGACTCATTTAAAACGCTTCATCATCATTTAGAACTCTCTAGACTCATTTAGAACGCTTCATCATCATTTAGAACTCTCTAGACTCATTTAGAACGCTTCATCATCATTTAAAACTCTCTAGACTCATTTAGAACGCTTCATTATCACTTAGAACTCTCTAGACTCATTTAGAACGCTTCATCATCATTTAAAACTCTCTAGACTCATTTAGAACGCTTCATTATCACTTAGAACTCTCTAGACTCATTTAGAACGCTTCATCATCATTTAAAACTCTCTAGACTCATTTAGAACGCTTCATTATCACTTAGAACTCTCTAGACTCATTTAGAACTCTCTATACTTGGACGGATGAAGTATAGATTTATCTATAGAGTAAATGTCGGTGTATGTACAGCAGTTAGACCGGTGTCGCTAGAGCGAATGTTCGCTCTCTCGTTTACATACACCGTTGGAAAATTATTCGCGCATAATAGGGAAATCAATGTTAAATTCTTAGCCGTCTGAAATCCAATCTACCAGTGTACATTTAAATAGAACGTCGCGATAAATTCTAATAAATTTAATTGTTCTGCTGGACTTCACACCGCGATTTGGCTTGGTTAGATTAAAAATCAAATAATTTCGACGTTTTGGACACTTCGACAGTATCAAAACGGGTTCGGATGGGTGAACGTCGAGTCGATTAAAAAGAAATGAAAATTTTTAAACGATAATTTATTGAAAAAATATTACTAATATTAAAATAGAATTATGTAGATATGTCTTTTTGCCACAATGGCTTGAAAAAGAAAGTAAATTCTAAGAAAATAATAAAAAGGAAACTCCAAAAATAAACTTAAAGATAATTTTAAAACAGAAAATAAAAGAACCCTAAAAAATAATCCACCGCTTTCTGCTAAACAATAGCCAAACCTGTCATACAGATGTCATCTCATATTACTGAGCTGAGGTATAATTCTAGCAGAAAATTGAATTATTTTTTCCCTTATTTCAACTAGATTTGTTGCTCTTTCAAAATTGTACCTACCGATACACTTATTCTTTTGAAATATCCCAAAAAAAAATTAGTTTCTAAATAATTTTGTACCTCATACCTAACACAAATAACTTTGTACCTCTACAAATCGCGGCGTGCGATCCAGTAGAACAATTAAATTTATTAGAATTCATCGCGACGTTCTATTGAAATGTACACTGGTAGACTGGATTTCAGCCGGCTAAGAATTTAACATTGATTTCCCTATTATGCGAAATGAAATTTCCAACGGTGTATAGCATGTAAATGCTCTAGACTGAGAAGTCTAGCAACTCAAGTGTATCGAGAGAGGCGCTCGAGAGTAGTTCTCGCCAATGTTGTGAGAGTAACTATTATGCTAGGTGGCCGTTTTGGGAGAAAAACTCTCGAGAGAGGATATAGAGTAGTTTTCGCCAGTGGACAATGTTTTGTGAGAGTAACTATAGACCTATTCAGTTTACGAAAGAGAGTGATGGAGTTATTAGATCAACATAAGATAATAAAAGAAGCAAATATGTTTCACGCGCAATCTGTGGAACCATTTAAAATCTGCGCAAACATAAGTGCAAGAGAGATGAGTATTTGGCCTATTTCAATGCTGATTGACAGACCCATTGAAGAATCTTAGCTGAAAACTGTTTTAATATAAAAAAGAAGAGACCATCTTCAATCTTAACCCTATTTTGTTTCTTGTTTCCGTTTGATGTTTGATTATGTTCAGTGTGTATTATTTTTTAACAGTGTTTCTTTGTATTATTTAGTATATTTATTTATAAAGGTTATAATTTTTTATATAGGTCAATGGGATTATTTCTTTGAAATATAAAATGGTAAGCCGATCAAAAAGCATTTTGGGAAACTTTGTACTAACCTCTTACTCTTTCTTAGACTTGACCTGCATATATTTTTTAACCCTAATCCCCTTTCTGGGCGGTAAAAACAAATTTGTATCGAATCCATTACAAATTAAATCCAACGGATTATTGGATAATGACAAATGACGTCTGAAGTATGTCTTCAGTTGACGTTGTCTGGTTGTCAGAACCGTATTTTACCTGAAGTGCGTTCGTTTGTTCGTTTAGATGTCAAGCTAATTATCCACAGTATGCGCGCGCAGCACAGGTTAAACTGAATAGGTCTATTGGAGAGTTAAGGATTGCTCTAGCGCTCTAGGACAATCGAAATTCGATTAGAGAGCGTGAAATAGAGCGCGCTGGGAGGAGCGTCGAGCGGCTAGAGCGAGTTACTAAATCGAGTAACTAGAATTTAGAAGAATTTAAAGCGAATTGTCTTATGTTTTTTTATTAATAACTCAGTATCTACACCTTTTCCAGTTGTATTTGAGAAAGCGACAATTGAATTTCAGAATAGTCGACTTGATTTCGAGAATCATCAATTGAGTTTCAGAATAGTCAAATTCATTTCAGAAATCTTCAGTTTTATTCCGGATTTCTTCAATATCTATCTAGCTTATCAATCTCAGTTTATCAGAAAAAAAATTATAAAGGTATCAGTTCCAGAAGAATTATTTCGATTTCAGATAAAAAAAAATTATTTCAATTTTTGGAAAGAAGTTGTTTCAAGTCCGATAAAAAATAATATAAATTGTGGAATGAAATGAGTTTTTTCTTCTTCGTTAATAATTGTAATAATAATAATTGTCATATATGATTTCTGCATTTCAAATGGGACTTTCCGAAATACTTTTGACACTTTACGAAACACAAATAATGATAATTTCATAAATACAATTGACTATTCTGAAATTCAATTGAAGATTTCTAAAACACAACCGGAAAAAGTGTAGTAACTAAATTTCAGTTCAGTTGACAGAATGAATTAAATTACAAAGTTGTAGAATAAAGTTTCTTCTACAATTTAAGACAAAAATTAGGTTTCTAAGATAACTAGATCCTTAGTTATTAATAAAAAATGTAAGATAGTTCGCTATATCAAAATTTGAAAATGCTTTATGAAAATTGGATATATCCAGAAAACTAAATGAATTGGAAAAATAATTTAAATTATTCATAACCATTTTAGAATCGTTTTTAACTGTCCTGGATCATCCTAGACCATCATTAAGCTACTCCAAACCGTCCTAAAATCGTTCTAAAACGGTTTTTTCAAACTCACCGATTCGATTAAACTTCCAATCAAAACTCTCAACCGAACCACTCGTATATCAATATTTTCTTCCACAAACCTTCATTAACCCTTCATTAACCCTCCATCGACCTTTAGAAACCCTTCATTAACCCTTTTTACCCTTCATCCTTCATGTATAAAACGATTTTTTCAAACTCACCGATTTGATTAAACTTCCAATCAAAACTCTCAACCGAACCACTCGTATATCAATATTTTCTTCCACAAACCTTCATTACCATTCATCGTCCTTTAGACACCCTTTATTAACCCTTTTTACCCTTCATCCTTCATGTATAAAACGATTTTTTCAAACTCACCGATTCGATTAAACTTTCAATCAAAACTCTCAACCGAACCACTCGTATATCAATATTTTCTTCCACAAACCTTCATTAACCCTCCATCGACCTTTAGAAACCCTTTATTAACCCTTTTAACCTTCATCCTTCATGTATAAACGATTTTTTCAAACTCACCGATTTGATTAAACTTTCAATCAAAACTCTCAACCGAACCACTCGTATATCAATATTTTCTTCCACAAACCTTCATTAACCATCCATCGTCCTTTAGAAACCCTTTATTAACCCTTTTTACCCTTCATCCCTTCATGTATAAACGATTTTTCAAACTCACCGATTTGATTAACTTTCAATCAAAACTCTCAACCGAACCACTCGTATATCAATATTTTCTTCCACAAACCTTCATTAACCATCATCGTCCTTTAGAAACCCTTCATTAACCCTTTTTATCCTTCATCCTTCATTTATAAAACGATTTTTTCAAACTCACCGATTGATTAAACTTTCATCAAAACCTTCAACCGAACCACTCGATATCAATATTTTCTTCCACAAACCTTCATTAACCATTCATCGTCCTTTAGAAACCCTTTATTAACCCTTTTTACCCTTCATCCTTCATGTATAAACGATTTTTTCAAACTCACCGATTTGATTAAACTTTCAATCAAAACTCTCAACCGAACCACTCGTATATCAATATTTTCTTCCACAAACCTTCATTAACCATCCATCGTCCTTTAGAAACCCTTTATTAACCCTTTTACCCTTCATCCTTCATGTATAAAACGATTTTTTCAAACTCACCGATTTGATTAAACTTTCAATCAAAACTCTCAACCGAACCACTCGTATATCAATATTTTCTTCCACAAACCTTCATTAACCATCCATCGTCCTTTAGAAACCCTTTATTTAACCCTTTTTACCCTTTCATCCTTCATGTATAAAACGATTTTTTCAAACTCACCGATTTGATTAAACTTTCAATCAAAACTCTCACCGAACCACTCGTATATCAATATTTTCTTCCACAAACCTTCATTAACCATCCATCGTCCTTTAGAAACCCTTTATTAACCCTTTTTACCCTTCATCCTTCATGTATAAAACGATTTTTTCAAACTCACCGATTTGATTAAACTTCCAATCAAAACTCCTCAACCGAACCACTCGTATATCAATATTTTCTTCCACAAACCTTCATTAACCATCCATCGTCCTTTAGAACCCTTTATTAACCCTTTTTACCCTTCATCCTTCATGTATAAAACGATTTTTTCAACTCACCGATTTGATTAAACTTTCAATCAAAACTCTCAACCGAACCACTCGTATATCAATATTTTCTTCCACAAACCTTCATTAACCATTCATCGTCCTTTAGAAACCCTTTATTAACCCTTTTTACCCTTCATCCTTCATGTATAAAACGATTTTTTCAAACTCACCGATTTGATTAAACTTTCAATCAAAACTCTCAACCGAACCACTCGTATATCAATATTTTCTTCCACAAACCTTCATTAACCATCCATCGTCCTTTAGAAACCCTTTATTAACCCTTTTTACCCTTCATCCTTCATGTATAAAACGATTTTTTCAAACTCACCGATTTGATTAAACTTTCAATCAAAACTCTCAACCGAACCACTCGTATATCAATATTTTCTTCCACAAACCTTCATTAACCATCCATCGTCCTTTAGAAACCCTTTATTAACCCTTTTTACCCTTCATCCTTCATGTATAAAACGATTTTTTCAAACTCACCGATTTGATTAAACTTTCAATCAAAACTCTCAACCGAACCACTCGTATATCAATATTTTCTTCCACAAACCTTCATTAACCATCCATCGTCCTTTAGAAACCCTTTATTAACCCTTTTTACCCTTCATCCTTCATGTATAAAACGATTTTTTCAAACTCACCGATTTGATTAAACTTTCAATCAAAACTCTCAACCGAACCACTCGTATATCAATATTTTCTTCCACAAACCTTCATTAACCATTCATCGTCCTTTAGAAACCCTTTATTAACCCTTTTTACCCTTCATCCTTCATGTATAAAACGATTTTTTCAAACTCACCGATTTGATTAAACTTTCAATCAAAACTCTCAACCGAACCACTCGTATATCAATATTTTCTTCCACAAACCTTCATTAACCCTCCATCGACCTTTAGAAACCCTTCATTAACCCTTTTTACCCTTCATCCTTCATTTATAAAACGATTTTTTCAAACTCACCGATTCGATTAAACTTTCAATCAAAACTCTCAACCGAACCACTCGTACATCAATATTTTCTTCCACAAACCTTCATTAACCCTCCATCGACCTTTAGAAACCCTTCATTAACCCTTTTTACCCTTCATCCTTCATTTATAAAACGATTTTTTCAAACTCACCGATTCGATTAAACTTTTAATCAAAACTCTCAACCGAACCACTCGTACATCAATATTTTCTTCCACAAACCTTCATTAACCCTCTATCGACCTATAGAAACCCTTCACCCTTCATTTATAAAACAGTTTTTTCAAACTCATCAAATCGATTAAACTTTCAATCAAAACTCATAACCGAACCACTCGTACATCAATATTTTCTTCCACAAACCTTCATTAACCCTCCATCGACCTTTAGAAACCCTTCATTAACCCTTTTTACCCTTCACCCTTCATGTATAAAACAGTTTTTTCAAACTCACCGATTCGATTAAACTTCCAATCAAAACTCACAACCTCACCGCTCGTACATCAACATTCCCTTCCACAAAACCCTTCACAATTAACCCACCACCCACCTTTAGACACCTCCGCCTCCTGCACGGCCTCGGCCAATTCGCCCTGCACTTTATCCAAACACTTCCGCAAATTCTCCAACTCCTGATTGGCCTGGTCCAAATTGTCCAATCGCTGTCTCCTCTCCACCATACCCTCGTCCTCGTCGCCGCGCATGCGCTCCACGCCTCTCGTCGCGTCCCCCGGCTGCCCGCCCGGCCCCTCGCGCGCCTTCTTCGTCGTTTGATCGCAGCCAGCCAGCAAATTGTCGAAGCTCGTATCGCCGAATTTCTCGCGCAAATCGTTGCACTCTTTGACCGCCTTGTCTCTCTCGTGCAGAGCGCTCGCTATCTCGCGCCTCAAAGACTCTAACCGATAGCTCAAATGGCGTTTCTCGTCTTGCAGCTCTTTGTTCGACAGATCGAGTAATTTGCACTTTTTAATCGATTGCGCTAAATCATCACTAAGCTTCTCCATTTCTTTGTGAACCGTATCCCGTTCGCTCATTACTAGAGTGTATTCAGCCATCGTAGCATTTCGTTCGTCCGTTAACCGTTTAATATCTTTATTAGCTTTGATGGTAAGGTTAACGGCTTCGTCGTATTGCTGCTGGAGCTTCTGGTGGGCCTCCCTGTACTTGGCGTAGTCCTTGCAGAGCTTGACGAGCTGCTGTCGGAGATTGGCCACCTCGCGTTGGGCCTGCGATCGGTCTCGATTGAGCTCGTCGCGTTCCTTCATCAAGCGGGCGTTGTCGTCCTGCGACGATTCGACCTTCGAGAGGGCCTCGCGGAGCGCCTGGTGCTCCGATTGGAGCTGCTTGTGCTCGACGAGGAGCTCCGAGTATTTGGTGCGGAGGGTGGAGGAGTCCTGCGAGGAGATTTCCAGTTGGTTCATGACGGCTCGGTGTTGTTCGCGATAGTAGTCCAAGTCCTGCGAGAGGAATGTTGGGTTAGAATCTTTCTCTCGAGAGAGAGAAGCTGGTTAGGTCGATTTGTACCAGCGCTGTGTGTCTGTCTTTGTCGTACTTACGCTCAGGGCGTGATCGCATCTTCTTCTCGATGTGGTGAGTTCGTTGGTGGTTTTCTCGATTTGTTGTTTGAGGGCATCGTATTCTCGGGCGGGGAAATGTCTCGATAGAGTGCCTGGGAAATTGGGGAATTAATGATGTAATTAGGGAGGATTTAATTGTTTAATTACCGTTGCTGCCTGCTGCGTTTTCTGGATTCGCTGCCATTTTGTGGAGAATAAAAGCTGGAAATTCGAATGGGTTAATATTTAAATAAATAACGATTAGAATGTGAGTTTAGAATGGCGTGTGAGCGTTAGAATTTAGTGGGAAACGTGTTCGATTTCTATATTTTTATACGGTGAAAGTGGGAATTCGTAGATGGATAATTAGCGAGTGCAAGGAACTGTGGAAAACTTACCAACTAATTAACGGTAACGTTAATTGCTAGTTGCATCGTTTGAGTAGACAAACAATTCGTTGATTTTTTCGATTTTATCATTAACATATCTCTTCTAATTGCCTTATTATTATTCGGTATAAAAATAAAATATCGTAGAAATAAATGGACGATTAACTTCTCGTATTTTGACTTTTGACATTTGACATTTCATTCTTCTTGTTTGCGGTGTGCTGTAAATAATTTTTCGATTACTATGCGAAACTGGCTGATGTGTTTTATAGTACGAGGCAATGTTTTTGACAGTTCTAATAGAAAAATTTTGGAGTACATTACTACATACCATGGTGGGCGAGAATAAAAGAAATTGCAATATTTCGCAAAAATATATATTTCTCGGTCATTTATACTTACCGAAAATCGAGAAACGATCGAATTATTTTTAAAAAAGCTGCACTAATGACAGCGGCGAAAAAAACTTCGAACTGTCAAAGTTGTCATTTACTACGGGATACGATTTTTTCGCTATTTGCAATATTTCGTCGATTTTAATGGATGAGAATAAAAGAAATTACCATAATTCCCACAATTTTGATCATTTATATTTTCTATTAACCGAGAAATGATCAAATTAATTTCAGAAAAACTTGTACTAATGACAGCGACGAAGAACATAACTTCGAACTGTCAAAGTTTCTTATTTTGTCTGTAGAACTGGATGCATGCAACTTGAATAAAAAAACGTAGCTTTAAATGCAAAATTAATAGCAGTTTCCAAACCTTAGAAATGCCGGCCGTGATCGATACAAACGAACAAACTTTTTTTACAAACGAACAAACAATTTGACATTTACTGTCAAGGCAACGTCAACTGTTAGATTAATTTAACTCGAATGCAAACTCGAGTAATTAGGCCGTATTTATAAAAAAGATAACCCTTTGCTTTAAAAAAAAATTGAAGAAATTGCTTTAAGATTCGTTATTTTGTAACTAACTGCATACGTCATACAGCAACACGTCAGTTATAAATGAAAAATAAGAAGAACGTCAATTGTCATTTTTTTAGGTTAGGTTATGTAAATAATAAAATGGGTGATTATTAATTATCTTGATTAGATTTGATTCCTCAAAGTTTCGAATAATAACGTTATTTACAATGTCTAGTCAGTAATATTTGTACAAAGATAACACTACGCGTTTCGAGTGCATAATTACCGTAATGATCGAAATTGGCAAATCGGCTCGTAGAAATGTTCTACAATAGCGGTGTTAAATTACGATTTTATTAATAATATGGACGATCAGGATCATAGTCCGTTGGAAAACGACGAACTTAGCGAATACGATATTTACTCCAAAACGCCGCCCAGGACGAAAATTCTCAGGAAAAATCGCGACAGGAAAGTCCGAGAACGCCAAACAAGGTGAGTTTCTCCCACTTTAGTTCTATTTTTTTGTAATAACTGCTTTAAAAATACTCATAATGATATAAAAAACGTAATCTTTTAACAAAATCACAGAACAGGAAACTGATTTTCCTGATACGGAACAGGAAAACTCCTCCGCAAAGTACTATAAACAAACGTTTTCGATTGGAAAACCAAAACAATTAAATTAACCTACATATTACAAATTCAATGAATATTCTAATCTATTCTAGCAGCCCGATAGTTTCCAGTAAAACCAAATCTTCCCTTACGAGAAGACACACGACGGGCACAATGCACGAAGACACCTACCAGCCCAAATCGGAGCACCAGGACGAAGACGGTAACATTTCCTCGATAATCTCCACCCATCAATTAACACTTATCTATTAATCGTAGGTCCGAAACGTCTAAATAAACGCCAAATGAAGCTCCTTAGAGGCTCCGAACGCGACTTAAAACTCGACATAGCCATAGCCCAAGCAGCCAACTCCGATCACCAATTGCACGATGATCTACCCGAGGAACTGGAGTACCCCAAAACCCCCAGCTATCAAATCGAAAGCAACAAAAGGTTCACCTTCGCGCCTCTCTTATTCTTTTGTATAACCGTTCGTTTTAGGTTTATGAGCCTGATGGGCAGGACGGTCCCTTGCAAGAAACAGTTCTGTCCGAAGGGCCGGGCGAAGGACGAGGAGCAGGAGAATCGAAGCTGCGAAAGGAACGAGGAGGAGCCGCCTTTGAACGGAGAATGTCCAGCCAGGAGGGTCGAGTTTTACATGACCTTGAAGGCTCTTATCAGAATGGGCAGCGGGGATAGGAGTTCGTACGATAGGACCTCGAGAAGAGCGGTGAGTAATTTAATCGTAGGAAGGTTTCGTGATAGTTTAATCGAACTATACTGTGGTGGAAGATTTTTTGTGATTTGTACCTTTTAATCGCCTTTTCCGGTTGGAAATGAAAGGACATACAATAATTTACTCGCCTACAAGTTTTCTGCATGTTTTATTGAGGAATAATCGTAAAATGATTGAATTAATTTTAATTTAAACCCGTCCGTTTGGTTCAAACGGAACTACACCAAAGTGTATTAAAAGAGACTTTTAATGGGCGAGAATAAAAGAAATTGGAATAATTCGCAAAAATATATATTTTTTGGTCATTTGTACTTACAGAAAATCGAGAAACGATCGAATTATTTTAAAAAAACCTACACTAATGACAGCGGCGATGAAAAAACTTCGAACTGTCAAAGTTGTCATTTCCTACGGGATACGATTTTTTCGTTATTTGCAACATTTCGTCGTTTTTAATGGATGAGAATAAAAGAAATTACCATAATTCCCACAATTTTGGTCATTTATATTTTCTATTAACCGAGAAATGATCAAATTAATTTCAGAAAAACTTGTACTAATGACAGCGACGAAGAACATAACTTCGAACTGTCAAAGTTGTCATTTCCGTTACTATGGGATACGTTGACATTTAATTTGATGTACAGGGTGTTTTTTCATTAAGGAAATCTGAAAAATTGATATACGGGTCGTTTTTTTTATCTTAAGTGAAAAATTATTTTTAATTAAATTGAAATATAATACAGGGTGACTCGTATTTAAGAAAATGTTCATTACATAAACTCAGCGAGCGATTTGTATGGACCGGGGTAGAGGGGCGGAGCCCTAGAGTAATAAAATGATAAATATACTAGCATTTCCTCGTTTAATCGCTAAACAAACGATAAAATTTTAATAATTCCCCTAGATGTACACATACACAAACGATTACCACTAAATCAAACTCTCGATTAGAGATAAATTAATGTTTGTTTGCGCACCTTGTCGATGTTAATGTGGTTACAATTGGCATTAATTTTGTTGGTATTAAGCGATTATTTTATTGCGTTTGGATGGGTAGAAAAGAGAGCTTGTGGCAGAATGAATTGAAAGATCTACCACGCCGATTTTTCTACAACTCGACAAAAAAATCTCAATTATCTCGTAAAGTAATCGATATGGAACCATTCTTTTCGTCTTGTCTTATAGAAAAAACATTTCTCTACAATTTTTGAGGAACGAAAAATTTTCAAAAATCGGTCACTTTTCGAGATATTTTGATTTCTTTAGGAACTGTATCTAAATTACAAATTTTACCACAACTCGATAAAAATCTCAATTATCTCCCAAAATAATCGAGATAAGACCATCCTTTTCATCTTGTTTTATAGAAAAAACATTTCTTTAAAATTTTTGAAGAGCAAAAAATTTTCAAAAATCGGTCACTTTTTGAAATATTTTGATTTCTTTGGGAAATGTATCTAAATTACCAATTTTACTACAACTCGACAAAAAAAAATCTCAATTATCTCATAAACTAATCGAGATAGAACCGTCCTTTTCATCTTGTTTTATAGAAAAAACATTTCTCTACAATTTTTGAAGAACGAAAAATTTTTAAAAATCATTCAGTTTTCGAGATATTTTGATTTTTTCAGGACATGTATCTAAATTACAAATTTTACTACAACTCAACCAAAAATCTCAATTATCTCTAAAAATAATCGAAATAAAACCATCCTTTTTATCTTGTCTTGTAGAAAAAACATTTCTCTACAATTTTGGAAGAACGAAAAATTTCCAAAAATCGCTTAGTTTTTGAGATATTTTGTTTTTTTTTTTTGAAATGTTCTAAATTACAAATTTTACTACAACTCGACAAAAAATCTCAATTATCTCGTAAAATAATCGAGATAGAACCATCTTTTTCATCTTGTTTTATAAAAAAAAACATTTCTCTACAATTTTCGAAGAACGAAAAATTTCCAAAAATCGCTTAGTTTTTGAGATATTTTGTTTTTTTTTTAAATGTTCTAAATTACAAATTTTATAAAATTCGACAAAAAAATCACAATTATCTCGCAAAATAATCGAAATAAAACCATCCTCTTCATCTTGTCTTATAGAAAAAACATTTCTCTACAATTTTCGAAGAACGAAAAATTTTCAAAAATCGCCCAATTTTCGAGATATTTACAATTTTTCAGAAAATCCATTTTCTCGATATTAAGCCATTATTATTTTTCTTTGCCATTTAGATGAGCAGAGAGGAGAGCTTATGGCAGAACGAATTAAAAGATCTCATATGGCTGGAGCTCCAAGCCTACCACGCCGACAGGACCCCCGTCGAGGAAGACGCCTACCTTTGCATGGCCCGCGAATGCGTCGAGCCTCTTTTGAACGATATCAAAAATTACAAATTCCAGAGACCATCCAGAAGGTAAAACATAAATTCTAATTATAAATCAAATAATTCGAGGCTGTGTACGTGATAAGTAAAAGGCCGGTTATGAGTTGTGATCGAAGATACAGGGTGTCCCAATAAAAAGTAGCCCCTTTCATAAGGGCCTAATTATAAGAACGTGCGGTTTTCTCAAATATGTTTTATTTTATTAGAAGTTTTCTTACAGTAATACAGAAATTATGCATTTACCAATACAGGGTGTTTTATCGAAACCTGCTCTTTTAAATTACACAGTAACCGAATTAATTTAAATGGAACATCCCGTATATACAATAACGTCAAATTCTGTGTTCTGACAGCGTCAAAAACTGTGCATCGTTGGCAATGTGTATTTAATTTCAGTAAATGGACAGAAATATTTGTTTTAGATAGAAAATAATAATTATTAGACGGGAGTAAAAGAGGGTACAGGAGAAGGTAGGGAGGGTTAGAATAGGGTAGAAAGGGGTACGAAGGATAGAAGGGTAGTGTAGAAGAAGGGATGTAGAGGTAGAGGATGGTAGCGGAGGTTAGATGAGGGTAGGGAAGGGTAGTTGCAGGGTAGGTTAATATACTTTAAATTTTTCAGAAAATAACAATTTACACAATCTGGCAACGATACACAGTTTTTGACGCTGTCAGAACACAGAATTTGACGTTATTGGCGCATGCGCGTTAACCCGCTCCGACTTAGTAAAGTTTACCAAATTATTCTTTAAAATTTTAAGTAAAAAATTTCAAAAATCGCTCATTTTTCGAGATATTTTGATTTTTTTTGACATGTATCTAAATTACAAATTTTACTACAACTCGATAAAAAATCTCAATTATCTCGCAAAATAATCGAGATAGAACCATCCTTTTCATCTTGTCTTATAGAAAAAACATTTCTCTACAATTTTTGAAGAACGAAAAATTTTCAAAAATCGCCCAGTTTTCGAGATATTTAGAATTTTTCAGAAAGGGTATCTAAATTATAAATTTGAGTACTACAACTCGACAAAAAAATCTCAATTATCTCTCAAAATAATCGAGATAGGACCGTCCTTCTTATCTTGTCTTATAGAAAAAACATTTCTCTACAATTTTCGTAAAACGAAAATTTTTCAAAAATCGCTCACATTTCGAGATATTTCGAATTTTCCAGAAAAAATTTCGCTGCAAATTAGTCTCTTTTATCTATAACCTCTTCTAATCGACCCGGCCTCTTACCTTTCAGGTATCTAACCCAAAACAGCGACAGCGGCCTGGAGGAGGACTGTCCCGGCTGCGTTTCGATCTACTGTCACCCGTGCTTAGAGGCTCAAAACGAGGCGCTCGGCGAGATCGAACGGTTGCTCAAACGCCTGGAAGAAGCCGAGCGATTGTTCCCATCGAGCAAGGCCTTCGCGGAGCTCTATCCGCTCTACAGATCGCCGGAGATCGTCGGCAGGGTGAGGGCCATGTGCCAATGGTACAATATGACCAAAATACAGCGGTTGAAGTTGAACATTTTGGGGAGATTGGTGGTTTTGTTGGATAGCAAACGGTCGGATTGGCCTTGTAGCTCGGCGGGGGACGATAACGGTTCCGGTGAGATATGTTTTTCCTGGTAGTTTTTGGGGGGGAAATTGGGGTAAATATTGGGAAATATTGGGAGAAATTAGGGTAAAATGGTGTAAATCTGGGGAAATTAGGGTAAATTTGGGGATATTATTAGGGTCAATTTGAGGAAATTGGGGTACATTGGGATAGATTCTGATTAATTGTGAAAATTGGGGAAAATTGGAGATTGTTATTAGTGTAAAGTGGGAGAAATTAGGGTAAATTGGTGTAAATCTGGGGAAATTTGGGTAAATTTGGGGATATTATTAGGGTAAATTTGGGGAAATTGGGGTATATTGGGATAGATTCTGATTAATTGTGAAAATTGGGGAAAATTGGAGATTGTTATTAGTGTAAAGTGGGATAAATTGTGGTAAATATTGGGAAATATTGGGAGAAATTAGGGTAAAATGGTGTAAATCTGGGGAAATTAGGGTAAATTTGGGGATATTAATAGGGTAAATTTGAGGAAATTGGAGTACATTGGGATAGATTCTGATTAATTGTGAAAATTGGGGAAAATTGGAGATTGTTATTAGTGTAAAGTGGGATAAATTGTGGTAAATATTGGGAGAAATTAGGGTAAATTGGTGCAAATCTGGGGAAATTAGGCTAAATTTGGGGATATTATTAGGGTAAATTTGGGGAAATTGGAGAAAATTTGGGAAAATTAGGGGAATTTGGGGTACATTGGGATAGATTCCGATTAATTGTGGAAATTGGGAAAAATTGGAGAATGTTATTAGTGTAAAGTGGGATAAATTGGGGTAAATTTCTGAAAATTGGAAAAAATGGGGTATATTATGGTAAATTAGAGGAAATCGCGCCAAATTGCTATAAATTGGGGTAAATTTCTGAACATTGGAAAAAATTTAGACAAATTAGGGTAAATTTGGGGAAATTGGTGGAAATTAAGGTTTTTTTTTTATTTTTTTTAGGAAATGTTCTAAATAACAAATTTATGCTACAACTCTACAAAAAAACTCAATTATCTCGCAAAATAATCGAAATAAAACTATAATTTTCATCTTGTTTTATAGAAAAGACATTTCTCTTCAACTTTTGAAGAACGGAAAATTTTCAAAAATCGTGCAGTTTTCGAGATATTTTTTTTAAGAAATGTTCTAAATTACTAATTTTACTAAAGCTCGACAAAATTCTCAATTATCTCGCAAAATAATTGAAAAAAAAATTCCTTTTCATCTTGTCTCATAGAAAAAACGTTTCTCTACAATTTTTGAAGAACGAAAAATTATCAAAAAACGCTCATTTTTCGAGATATTTTGATTTTTTTAAGGAAATTTGACTACGAACAACAAATTTTACTACGATTCCACATAAAAACAATTATCTCAGTAATAATAAAACACAATAATTGAGCTGGAACCATCCTTTTTATCTTGTCTTATAGAAGAAAGATTTCTCTACAATTTAGGAAGAACGAAAAATTTTTAAAAATCGCTCAGTTTTCGAGATATTTAGAATTTTTGAGGAAATGTATAAATTATAAATTTTACTTAAACTCAAACAAAAAAGCTTAATTATCTCGCATAATAATCGAGATAGTACCTTGCTTTCCATCTTTTCTTATAGAAAAAACGTTTCTCTATAATTTTTGGAGAACGAAAATTTTCAAAAATCGCTGTTTTCGAAATATTTAGAATTTTCAGAAAATGTATCTAAATTACCAATTTTACTACAACACGACAAAATTAATCTCGCAAAATAGTCGAAATAAAACTATCCTTTTCTTCTTTTCTTATAGAAAAAAACATTTCTCTAAAATTTTTGAAGAACGGAAATTTTTCAAAAATCGCTCATTTTTCGAGATATTTTGATTTTTTTAGGAAATGTTCTAAATAACAAATTTTACTACAACTCTACAAAAAAAAACTCAATTATCTCGCAAAATAGTCGAAATAGAACCATCCGTTTCATCTTGTCTTATAGAAAAAACCTTTCCCTACAATTTATGAAGAACGAAAATTATTCAAAAATCGCTCACTTTTCGAGATATTTTGATTTTTTAGAGATCCATCCTTTTCATCTTGTCTTATAGAAACACCTCTCCATCATCGCCTAAAACTCTCCATCATCCTAATTAACCTTTAATTAACCCAATCAATCTCCTTCCAGGCAGCCCATCGGACAGCAACAACAGCACCAATTCAACCTTCAGCCTCATCAGCAACCAAGATTGCTCAAACACCAACGATCTCTACCAACCCGTCTCGCCCATTTGCGATCTTTTAGCTCCCAAATCCGGCTCGAACAAAGTCTCCCCCTACCGGAGGTACATCGAGAACGTGCTCAAAACCCGAGCGCTCGACAAGAGCCTCAATTTTCTGAGCAATTTGCACAGCCACGTGCTCAGGAAGACTCAGATCACGCTGGAGTATCCGGACGATGCGGGGGTTTTCTCGAAAACCGGGTGTTGCTCAGACGATGAGGAGCTCAGAAGGTGAATAAAATTTGTAATAATAGTAAATAGTGTGTGGTTTGCTTTATTTTTTGGGCGGGGAAATGTCAATTGCGCCGTTGGTTGTTGTTTAAGTTTTGAGAATCGCTGGCGCAATTGGTTTGTATTCCGCTTTATAAAGTGGAGTGGGGACCATGCAGGTTATTTTAATAGAAAAAACATTTCTCTGCAATTTTCGAAGAACGAAAAATTTTCAAAAATCGCTTACTTTTCGAGATATTTTAATTTTTTAGGAAATGTCTAAATTACCAATTTTACTACAACTCGATAAAATTCTCAATTATCTCGCAAAATAATCGAAATAAAACCATTTTCTTCATCTTGTCTTATAGAAAAAACATTTCTCTACATTTTTTGAAGAACGAAAAATTTTCAAAAATCGTTCAGTTTTCGATATATTTTGATTTTTTATGACATGTATCGAAATTACCAATCTTACTACAACTTGACAAAAAATGTCAATTATCTCGCAAAATAATCAAGATAGAACTATTCTTTTTATCTTGTCTTATAGAAAAAACGTTTCTCCACAATTTTTGAAGAACTGAAAATTTTCAAAAATCGCTTACTTTTCGAGATATTTTGATTTTTTAGGAAATGTTCTAAATAACAAATTTTACTACAACTCGACAAAAAAATCTCATTTATCTCGTAAATTAATTGAGATGGAACCATCCTTTTCATCTTGTCTTATAGAAAAAACCTTTCTCTACAATTTTTGAAGAACGAAAAATTTTCAAAAAACGCGTCATTTTCGAGATATTAAAAATTTTTGAGGAAATGTATCAATTACAAATTTTACTACAACTAGATAAAAATCTCAATTATCCCGCAAAATAATCGAGTTAGAACCATCCTTTTTATCATGTTTTATAGAAAAAACATTTCTCTACAATTTTTGAAGAACGGAAAATTTTCATAAATCGCCCATTTTTCGAGATATTTCGAATTCTTCAAAAAATGTATCTAAATTACCAAATTTACTATTTTCGCGGGAAACGTCAATTGCGCCATCGGTTGTCATTCACATCCCCGAATCGCCGGCGCAATTAACTCCTATCCCGCATTATAAAGCTCACCACACACGTTTTTTTCTATTTCCTAAAAAAATTTTAACAATTCTTTCTATTACATCAGATACGGCTGTTGGAGCCCCGAATACAAAACCTTAGATCTACCATCATACAGGACGTTGTTCATATTTTTGGCCACCGTTCCATTGGAAGTCGTACACGAATATTTGCTGATGCGATTGGAACAGAAACCGACCAATCCGTCCGCTCTGAGCATCAGGCAGCTGATGAGAGAACTGAAAACCGGATTGTACAAGGCTATCCAGGAAAGAGGTAAATTGTTGTTTTTTTTCCTCCTAATTTCCACCTAATGTGCCCTAATTTCTTCCAAGTACAAGACCATCCAGGAAAGAGGTGAATTGTCGTTTGATATACCTAATTTTTCCTCCAATTTCCCCTAATTTCTTCCAATAATTTCCCCAAATTTACCCTAATTTCTCCCAATTTCTTCCAATAATTCCCCCAAATTTACCCTAATTTCCCCTAATTTATTCAAATTTTCCCTAATTTTTTCCATTAATTTACCCAAATTTACCCTAATTTCTCCCAATTTCTTCCAATAATTCCCCTAAATTGACCCTAATTTCCCCCAATTTATTCAAATTTCCCCTAATTTCCTCCAATAATTTCCTCAAATTTACCCTAATTTTCTACAATTTCCTCTAATTTTTTCACAATTTTCAGAAATTTACCCCAATTTATACCAATTTGCCGCAATTTCCGCTAATTTACCATAATTTCCCTCAATTTTTCCCCAATTTTCAGAAATTTGCCACAATTTCCCCTAATTTTATTCAATTTTCAGAAATTTTCCCCAATTTTTCTAAATACCTATTAGAATCACGAAATCTATATTTCCATATTCAATCTAGTTAGGCTATGACGTCACGAGCCAGCCCGTTTGCAACGTTGCCGGGTTGTGATTAAAATCCTTTATATGACATATATTTTATTTGAGGTTATATTTACTTTCGTTGTTTATATTTCGTTGTTTACATCACGTCATCGCCTAAGGAGATGGTTTTCCGGTTCTCGCTCGCTGCGCGAGCTCGAGTTTAATTGTAGTTTAGCACCTAATTTATAGTCCGGTAATAGTTACAACTAGATAAAAATCTCAATTATCCCGCAAAATAATCGAGAAAAGACCATCCGTTTCATCTTGTCTTATAGAAAAAACGTTTCTCTACAATTTTTGAAGAACGAAAAATTTTCAAAAATCGCTCATTTTTCGAGATATTTTGGTTTTTTTAAGGAAATGTATCTAAATTACCAATTTTACTACAACTCGACAAAAATCTCAATTATCTTTCAAAATAATGGAAATAGGACCATCCTTTTCAACTTGTTTTATAGAAAAAACATTTCTTTAAAATTTTTGAAGAAAGGAAAATTTTCAAAAATTAGTCACTTTTCGAGATATTTTGATTTCTTTAGGAAATGTATCTAAATTACCAATTTTACTACAACTCGACAAAAAAATCTCAATTATCTCGTAAACTAATCGAGATAGAACCGTCCTTTTCATCTTGTTTTATAGAAAAAACATTTCTCTACAATTTTTGAAGAACGAACATTTTTCAAAAATCGTTCAATTTTCAAGATATTTTGATTTTTTCAGGACATGTATCTAAATTACAAATTTGAACACAACTCGGTAAAATCTCAATTATCTCCCAAAATAATCGAAACAAAACTATCCTTTTTATCTTGTCTTATAGAAAAAACACTTCTCTACAATTTTTGATAAACGAAAATTTTTCAAAAATCGCTCACTTTTCGAGATATTTTGGTTTTTTCAGGAAACGTATCTAAATTACAAATCATACCATAACTCAACAAAAAAAACCCAATTTTCTCCCAAAATAATCAAGATAGGACCGTCCTTTTTATATTGTCTTATAGAAAAAACGTTTCTCTACAATTTTTGAAGAACGAAAAATTTTCAAAAATCGTTCAGTATTCGAAATATTTTGATTTTTTCAGAACATGTATCTAAATTACAAATTTTACCACAACTCGGTAAAAATCTCAATTATCTCCCAAAATAATCAAAATAAAACTATCCTTTTTATCTTGTCTTATAGAAAAAACATTTCTCTACAATTTTGGAAGAACGAAAATTTTTCAAAAATCGTTCAGTATTCGAAATATTTTGATTTTTTCAGAACATGTATCTAAATTACAAATTTTACCACAACTCGGTAAAAATCTCAATTATCTCCCAAAATAATCCAAATAAAACTATCCTTTTTATCTTGTCTTATAGAAAAAACATTTCTCTACAACTTTTGAAGAACGAAAATTTTTCAAAAATCGCTCACTTTTCGAGATATTTTGATTTTTTTTAGGTAATAATTTGATGATTTTTTTTTTCTAGAAAGAGCCTGTCGATACATCGAATCGGCCACGTCCGGTACCAACATTGCAACGGTGGAATTCCGCGAAAAAGTGGAGAAATTCGACGAGTGCATCCGGCAGATATTCGTCGATTTCTTGGATTATTTGCAACAGTGGGTGCTTTTGAGCAAAACTTTCCAGAAGAATTTGCTCGAAGAGGAGTTCGAATTTTGCATGTTCGTGTGCCGGTCGTTTCCGCGATTCAATACGATTGTGGGGGCGAAATTCGCTCATATTATGGGGACCATTTTGAGGAATACCGGACAGAGATTGATTGAAAGGATTGACGATTCGTTGGAGACTTTGTCGGCTAATAATCAGGCTGATGGATTGGTTAAGTACGTTTGAAAATGTTGATTATTGAGCAAAATGATTGAGATAGGACAATTCTTTTTGTATTGGCTTATAGAAAAAATGTTTCTCTACAATTTTTGGAGAACGAAAAATTTTCGAAAATAGCTTAGTTTTCGAGCTATTTTGATTTTTTTAAAGAAAAGTTCTTAATTACAAATTTTACTACAACTCGATAAAAAAATCTCAATTATCTCGCAAAATAATGGAGATAGAACCATCCTCTTAATCTTGTCTTATAGAAAAAACATCTCTCTACAATTTTCGAAGAACGAAAAATTTTCAAAAATCGCTTAGTTTTCGAGATATTTTGATTTTTTTTAGGAAATGTTCTAAGTTACAAATTTTATAAAACTCGACAAAAAATCTCAATTATCTCGCAAAATAATCGAAATAAAACCATCCTCTTCATCTTGTCTTATAGAAAAAACATTTCTCTACAATTTTCGAAGAACGAAAAATTTTTAAAAATCGCTCTGTTTTCGAGATATTTTGATTTTTTTTAGAAAATGTTCTAAACAACAAATTTTACTACAACTCGATAAAAAATCTTAATTATCTCGCAAAATAATCGTGATAGGACAATTCTTTTCATCACGTCTTATAGAAAAAACATTTCTCTACAATTTGGGAAGAACGAAATAATTTCAAAAATCGCTAATTTTTTGAGATATTTAAAATTTACAAAAAATTTACAATTTTTGAGGAAATGTATCTAAATTACAAATTTTACTACAACTCGACTAAAAATCTCAATTATCTCTCAAAATAATCGAAATAAACCCAACCTTTTTATCTTGTCTTATAAAAAAAAAACGTTTCTCTACAATTTTTGAAGAACCAAAAATTTTCAAAAATCGCTAATTTTTTTAAATATTTATCCAAATTATAAATTTTACTAAAACTCAACCAAAAAATCTTAATTATCTCGTAAAATAATCAAGATAGGACAATTCTTTTCATCACGTCTTATAGAAAAAACATTTCTCTACAATTTTTGAAAAACGAAATTTTTTTAAAAATCGCTAATTTTTTGAGATATTTAGAATTTTTGAGGAAATGTATCTAAATTATAAATTTGACTGAAACTCAACCAAAAAATCTTAATTATCTCGTAAAATAATCAAGATAGGACAATTCTTTTCATCATGTCTTATAGAAAAAACGTTTCTCTACAATTTTTGCAGAACGAAAAATTTTCAAAAATCGCTAATTTTTTGAAATATTTAGAATTTTTGAGGAAATGTATCTAAATTATAAATTTTACTAAAACTCAACCAAAAAATCTCAATTATCTCGTAAAATAATCAAGATAGGACAATTCTTTTCATCATGTCTTATAGAAAAAACGTTTCTCTACAATTTTTGAAGAACGAAAAATTTTCAAAAATCGCTAATTTTTTGAAATATTTAGAATTTTTGAGGAAATGTATATAAATTATAAATTTTACTAAAACTCAACCAAAAAATCTCAATTATCTCGTAAAATAATTAAGATAGGACAATTCTTTTTATCATGTCTTAAAGAAAAAACATTTCTCTACAATTTGGAAAGAACGAAAAATTTTCAAAAATCGCTGAGTTTTCGAGATATTTTGATTTTTTTAAGAAATAAGTACAACTAAACTACAAATTTTATAGTCCATTTTATAGTAATAACTAATAAATAATTTTTTCCAACAGGCAAAACTTATTCACATTTTGTCGCAAACTCCAATCGGTCTTCAACGAAGAACGCGAAACGAGCCTAAAAACGATGGGATTCGTCAAAACCAACTTTAGATCTGAAAACGATCTCGTTCCAGATGATTGCAAAATCTTCGTAAAGGTACTAAAAATTAAAAAAAAAATCGAACAATACAGGATGTCCTTAAAACTATCTGTATATTGGGAACTACTTATCCAATTTAAATAATATTTGGTATACATACAGGGTGTTAATTAATTGAGTGCCGATACTTCAGAATGTGAATATTAGGATGGTTTTAAGAAGAAAAGTTTATATCATTGTATGTCCTAAATGTCTTAGTTTTCGAGCTGCAGGGTGTTAAAATTTTAGAAAAAAAAAAACTTTTCTATCATAATTTTCTTATTACGGCAGATATTTTTATGAAATTTCGGACGTGGACGTCACTGGTAATAGTAGAAAAATAATTTTTATCCCCAAAAAAAGTGTTTCCATGCATGGTGGGCGACTAACAAATTTCAACAAAATATCAAAAGCAGTCTCAAAATAAACTTGGGAAAAAATTGTTTTCGTTTTAATTTTTTACGCGAAAATGGTGCGTCGTACGAAAATAAGTCTTCTGGCCGAATTTGCTACAAAATAAATGAAGATTTTGAAAATAATTTTGGTTTTTAGAAAAAGCAGTGGTGTACCACTTTTTTTTTCAAACATATTCAGTTCAAACCCACGTACGGACGTCACTGGTGAAAATTTTAAAAAAATCTTATACCTCAAAAAATGATCCTTAATAATTAAAAAGAGTATACAAAATTTCTTAAAAATATCTGGAATAATAAGAAAATTATGATAGAAAAGTTATTTTTTTTTCTAAAATTTTAACACCCTGTAGCTCGATAACTAAGAGGTTTAGGACATATATCAATATAAACTTTTCTTCTTAAAATCATCCAATTCACATCCTGAATTATCGGCATACAATTAATTAACACCCTGTATACAGGGTGTCTCTGAAAGTGTGGGAAATCTCTCGGATCCATATAGAACATGAAAAAATAAGATGAGAAGTTTCTATAAAAATTTTCCCTACAGGCCCTCCCTACGAAGATAAGAGTCCCAGAAGGGCGCCACTGGAAATAGGTTTTCCTTAAATATCTTCTAAAGTAATTGATATAATTAAATAAAAATTTTATATGATGGACAATACTGAGGGCCTCGAAAATTAATGTAACATATTTTAGCTTTTTTAGTTTACCAGGGCCGGGCTAAGGCTAACACCTTAATGCATAAATTTTCAACACCCGGTATGATAAAAAGAGTTAAAAAACATAAATCTGGAAAGCTTGAACCATAAAC